GTTACTTTTTGTTCAGGTATGGAAGATAAATTGGTGGGTGTTTCAAGTTCTTGTAGGGCAGTAGACTGGTCTGGGTGGATGGTGGGACAGGGTAGTAGGTAGGCTTGTCAGGTTAGTAGGAGGACTAGTCTGTGCCAAACAGATCAGGAGCCAGTGGAGTCTATGCTAGGGAGTATAGCTAGTCTGGGTTAGAAAGCTAGTCCAGGTATCTGAGGTGAAGGGATTGGAGCTGCTCTGGATTCAAGGCTGGCAGGAGACAGGGTGAGGGTGGGTGAGAGGAATGTAGTAGAGATGCAGTATGTGTGGTCTGACTTACCAGAGTCCTGGCTGAGCAGGTCTGTCTGCCTGATCCAAAGCCAGGGAAGATGGTGGTGGGGAACTGCCTACCAAGAGACTTAGGGATCTATGGGAGGGTGTTTAGCTAGTCTGGGTTAGGAAGCTAGTCCGGAGATCTGAGGTGAAGGAATTGGAGTCCACAGGGTCCAAGGCTGGTGGGGGACAGGGTGGGAGTGGGGGAGAGTAATGGAGTAGAGATACAGTGGGCAGGATCTGACTTACCAGAGTCCTGGCTGAGCAGGTCTAGCTGCCTGATCCAAAGCCAAGGAAGATGGCGATGTGGGGACCACCTGCCAAGGGACTTAGGGATCTATGGTAGTGTGTTTAGCTAGTCTGGGTTAGGAAGCTAGTGCAGGGATCTGAGGTGAAGGAATTGGAGCCCGCCTGGGTCCAAGGCTGGCAGGGTGGATGAGAGGACTTATTTATTTTTATGTGATGTGTCTTTTGCCTGCATGTATGTAAGTGTACCACATGCAAGCAAACCCATGAAAACCAGAAGATGGCACTGGATCCCCAGAACTGGAATTAAGGATGGTTGTGAGCCACCACGTGGGTGCTGGGAACCAAACCCTGGTCCTTTGGAGGAGCAGCCAGTGCTCTTAACCACTGAGCCATCTCTCCAGCCTCCTATTTTAAATTTTAGTTTAAATTTGTATTTTTTGAGACAGGGTCTCCCTATAGCTCCAAGTGGTCTGGAACTCACTGTGTACACCATGTTGGCTTGATCTTATAGAGATTCACCTACCTCTGCCTCCTGAGTACTGGGGTTAAAGGCATGCACCACTACCCTTGCTTTGCTTGCTTTTTATTTTATTTTGTAATCTTTTTTGAGGTACAACAGTCTTAAAATTTTAGGTGGTCAATAATCAGTCTTTTTTTCTATGCTTTTACAGTCATAGCCAAAGATATATTTAAACATAAGTCTAATCATATTCCTCCCATATTAAAATCTTCCCAGGGTTCTTTTTAAAATTTTTTAATTAATTATTTTATGTGTATGAATGTATTGCCTACATGTGTGTAAGTGCACCTGAGTTATGCAATGCCTGCAGAGGTCAAAAGAGGGTGTTGGATCCCCTGGAACTGAAGTTACAGATGGTTGTTAATTGCCATGTGGGTGCTGGAATTTGAACCCAGATCTTCTGTAAGAACAGTCAGTGCTCTTAACTACTGAGCCATCTCTCCAGCCCCTGCCACCTTGGTTTTCTGAGAGACTCTCCTTGTAGCCCCAGCTGGTGTGGAACTACCTATGTAGATCAGACAGGCCTGCCTCTGCCTCCCAAATGGTGGGATTAAAGGCATGTGCCACCATGCCAGGCCCCAGGGTTCTTTTTTATAATTGTATTTATTTTATTTTGTATATATATGTAGTTGTTTGTGTGTGTGTGTGTGTGTGTGTGTGTGTGCGCGCGTGCGTGTGCATGTACGTTGAGTCCAGAAGCCAACACTGGGTGTCCACAGTCAACCTCCACCTTGTTTTTTTGAGACAGGGTCTCTCACTGAAGAGCTCACTGATCAGTGAGACTTTCTGGCTAACAAGCCCTAGGGAACCTCCTGTTTCTACGTCCCCAAGGCAAAGACAGTAATAGTTGTGCTGCTGTGTCTGACTTTTTACGTGTGTGCTAGGGATTCAAATTCAGTACCTCATGCCTGCCCAGCAAACACTTTGTCTATTGAGCCATCTCAGCCAAGTGTGATGGTGCACCTCTTTAATCCCAGCATTCAGGAGGCAAAGGCAGGTGGATCTCTGTGAGTTCAAGGTCAGCCTGGTCTACATTGTGAGTTCCAGGCCAGTCAGGACTACATAGTGAGACCTTGTCTCAAAAAGCAGACAAACAAAAATTACTGTTCCAAATCACCTTTAGGCTGTATGAGGTATTTATGAAACATATTTAAACTTGAGTCCCATCCCCAAGATATCTCATTATACATCATGTAACTATCCCCAAATTGCAAATAATCTACAATTCAAAATACCTCTGGTTCTAGGCATTGAATAAGGGATACTCAACCTATAGGAAAATGGGCTCTCAGAGCTACTTTGAACTGGGCTGCTGGGGGCTGAAGCTTAGTTATGAGCAATCAGGAGACTCCAGGGGGTACATGTTAAGCACTCAGTAGGTAGGTGGCATAACAGTGGGAGGTTGGGGAAGGCTGAGCAGCAGGCAAAGGACAGGAGGTCAGTTAGACTGGCAGCACCCAACATGTGGCAGGCAGTAGTGTAAGGTCAGGACTGGACTTCTCAGAAGGCTGACAGACCGTGTCTGTGAAGATTGGTTCTGAAGACACTGTACAACAGTCACCTGAAGTCTTGAAGATTGGAAAAGTTACTTTAGAGCACAGTGTGGTGATGCACACCTGTAATCTCAGCACTTAATCTCAGCACTTGGGAGGCAGAGACAGGAGGATCAGAAGTCTAAGACCAGCCTCAGTTGCAAAGTAGGTAAGTTTAAGGCCAGCCTGTGCTACATGAGACCAATCTCAAAAGAACAACAGCAAAAACAAAACTGATTTTTTACCACCAATACCTCCTCCCACCCCACAGTCTTCCCCACCCCAGCAAATGGCATTGTCACGTTCCAGTTTCACAGGCCGGAAACTAGAGTCACTTGACTTCTTTTCTTCCTATGTACCACATCCCATCTGTCAGTGAGTACTGTCCATATACTGAAGGGTTTCATTTTGATAACATTTTTGAAAATATATAACCAAAGGAACAGAAATCAGATCTGTGGTCATAGGCAGGGATAAAAGGTGACTACAAAGAGTCATGAGAGAATTTAGGGGCTGATGAACTTTCCTATGGCTGTGTGGTGGTTGTCACACAACTATGTCCACTTGTCAGAACTCAAGGAAATGCACATGAATAGGCAGGGTTTATTAGGACTTAATAAAAATGTGGGAGAGGGCAGGAGAGATGGCTCAGAGGTTAAGAGTACTGGCTGTTTTTGCAGAGGTTCTGGGTTCAGTTCCTATCACCCACATGGTGGCTAACAACTGTCCATAGCTCCAATTCCAGGGTATTTGACACCCTCTTATGACTACCACAGGCTTTGTATGACAGGTGCTCTTACATACATGCAGGCAATACACTCATATACATAAACTAAAAATAATATACATAAACTAAAAATAATAAATTTTTTAAATGTGGGAGAGACTATATTGGTGATGTATGCCTTTCTTATCATCATCATAATCATCATCATCATCATCATCATAGTCATCACCTTGGGCCAGGTGCTAGCATGATCTTGGATTCTTATTGTGATGGGCTCCTTACTGGTCCCTTTTCCTGTACTCTCTTTGCTGTACTTTGTTTCCATCAAAGTAGCCAGAGAGGTCCTTGGGGGGGTGTGTGGAGCAAGTTGTCTTGCTCCTTTGCCTTTGTTATTCCCTCCAATAGTTTCTCTTCTCCTCAGAGAAGACCCTTGATTTCCCTCAATGCTGTCCACTCCCCGCCCCCACTGGCTCTCTTCACTGCTACCATGAGAGCCTCGCTCCTTCCCTTAAACATGCCTGTGTGGTTCTCCTCAGGGAAGAGTTCCACAATGGCTTGCCAAAACCTTGGGTGACACATCCATCTACTGCTTCTTTGGTTATTTCTGCCTAATTTCTCTCTCATTGCACTCCCCATCCAGCAGACCCCCACTCCAGTCCCATGGTCAGCTTGTTCTTCCTGACAAATAGCTTTCTGTCTTCTTGGGGTTGTCTGCCTGGAATCAGCTTCCCACTGATTTCCACTAATGGGTCCCTCCCTCATCTCTTTCAGGTCTTTGCCCAAGTAGCATTTTTCTCAGTGAGACCTTCCATGAGCAAACCATTATACTATTGCAACCCTGTGCTCCCATTTGGTATCTTGGGTTTTCTTTAAAACAGACTCTCACATAGCCTAGGTTTGCTCCAAATTCACACTCCTCCTGCCTAGGCCTCTCAAGTTCTGGGACTACAGGTGTGAGCCACCATGCCTGGCCTGGTATCTTCTTCATATTATTTTTCTCAAAGATCATAGCTCCATCTACTCTACCACATAGTTTGCTTATTGTGTGGTTCTTCCTCATGTCCACGAGGAGAGTTATTTTTGCTTTATCACACCCCTCCAGTACTTAAGATATTGCTAGTTTCTCTGGCAAGTAATACATGTTCAGTTAAAGTGCACAGATGGAAGAAAAGAGAAGGCCAGGACTATCGGTTAGATGGCTCAGTGGTTAAGAGCACTGGCTACTCTTGCAAAGGACCCAGGTTTGATTCCCAGCACTCACATGGCAGCTAACAACCATCTGTAACTCCAGTTCCAGAGGCTCTGACGCCCCCTTCTGACCACTGCAAGCATTGCACGACACAGGTGCACTTACATAATGCAGGTAATACACTCATACACATAAAATAAAAATAATAAAATATTTAAAAACGAAATAAAGAGAAGAAAAGGGTCCTAAGAATCAGTGGATCATCTTGTAATCTTAGGTATGGGCTTCTCACTGACCAAAAGTTTCGTTCAATCCCCCTAATACATAGCCTTCAACAACATGGAATGTCATACAAGTTCACGTGTTTGTAGGCACAGGTGTTTTGGCAGAGTGGGTCTCCATCTGGCTCTTTCTCTTTAGCTGCACCTGAAAATTACTATGTTAACATAAGTCTTCTCTCAATTTTCTGTCTAGAAGCAGATGTTCCAGGAGAGGAGTAGCAGGATGCTACAGGCCTTATCCCCGAAGCAGAGCCCTGTGAGCAGCCCGACCCGGAGCCGGTCCCCATCCCGTTCCCCATCTCCCACCTTCTCATGGCTCCCAAACAAAACCTCTCCACCGTCCTCACCCAAAGCAGCCTCAGCCTCCATCAGCAGCATGAGTGAGGGGGATGAGGATGAGAAGTAAAGGTGGCTGGGCAGCAAGAGCCACACCACACAGGATGGGGAGGGGGTCCCGGGGACGCCTGGGTGGTGTTTGAAGGGGAATAGTCGTGGGAGCTGCAGCTCAGCAGGGAGACCAGAGTTCTGCCATGGGAAGGGGTCATCTCCCTTTCCTTCTCCACACAGCCTGGCCTGAGCTCAGCATGGAGGTTTCCAGCTGGAAAACCACAAACCTTCTTAGCATCATAGAATCACCCCACTTTAACCTGCTGAGAAAAGGTGCAGAGCATCCCCATGGAATGGGGTGACTTCTGCTTTAGTCCGTACAGCCATCCACATCCAATAAGCCACCCGTGGAAGCGGCTGCTGCCTCACCCTACTATTTCAGGTCCTTTGAGGGCCTTGCACGTTGCCTCCTATCACCCAAGCTCTCCCAGAATGAACTCCCTTCCAACCAAGGTGGTCAAGTGCTTTCCAAATAGGCAAGTTAAAGACAAATCCCAGCCTTCTCAGTTTAGCCACTAAGACTTGACGATGCAATGCATCAACTCTTGCCTGCTACAGGACTGTGACTCAGAGACAACTTTGCTTTGGCCAGATAGAAAAAGTGATCTAGTGTGAACCTTAACTTCTCATTCAAAGAACAGTTGTGTCACGGTGAACTCCACTTAAGGCCTGACATGCTTCTGGCTGTACTTTCTCATCATTGGTGTGACTTCATTGTTTTCCAGAAACTACCTGAATTGATGGGAATTACAACAAGGAAACATAACCTGTGTAAAAAGAAATAAACAAACCAACCAGGAGCTGATTTGCTTGGCTCCATGTATGGAAGATGAAAATTGTCTCTTGGACCTTCTTCTTAAAGGATGCTGTTATGGAATGGCTCTCTCCATTTCTAACCAGTTCACCAGTTTCATAGACCTAAGTAACAGTTTGATGTACCAAACACTTAGTATACCGATAGGGGGTGCTACCTGCACGTATCTGTTCTATGTATGTTCCAAATATACCACCCCAGGGTGTACACCATATGCAATATGAATTTACGGTGGTGGCATTTTACTATATATACTCCTGTCCTGCTCTCTTCCCTGATACCCTGCTAAAATCCTTGATCTAAAGAACCCTCTGGTCCCCTCGTGACTTGGGCAATTTGTCAAAAGCTCCCATCAGATTCCTGTAGAAATGTTTTGTCTCAGAAAATTGTTGTTTGGGGTAAAGGGAAGTTCCCAAGAGTCTTGCAAAGAACTAGAGGCTCATCCCTTCATATGATCTAGGTAGTACTGAAGTCATTTCTGGCCCTAGCTTCTCTGAATGGGTTGAAGACTCTCAGATTGCTGCAGAGATGTCTGAAGTCACTGCTCCCTAATCATATGCAGAGCCTGAGCAGACACAGCCAAGGCTTAGAGCCAACATCTTGGGTAGAAATAGAATTTCCTGGATATTGTGGTAAAGTCAGAACTGGGGCTTGACTGAATAAAGGTCTTAACCTGCAGCCTGTGGGCAGAGCTCAGCATCTCTGATGACAGAAGCGTCCCTTTTCAGAGGCCTTGGGAACAAGCCTTCTAAGAGCAACCAGTGAAGAAAGGTGGCATGTCTTTCCCCTTTGTGTTGGGGTTGAACTACCTCCCTACTCACCTGGAGACCAGTGGTGATTGTTGGAAAGCAAAACTTTTATGCTAAGCTATCTTGGAACCTCCTTGATCCTGGTACTTTCTCCAGAACTCTGTAAAGTGCTCGTGCAGGACAGGGAGTTGGTGGGAATGTGCCCTATGAGAAAGTAAGCTGTTTTTGCAGTTAAGGCCCTCCGAGAGCATTGTTCTCCAGAGAGAGGCAAGGGCTTCCATACTTCCATTGTGCCAGTTTGACCTCAGCCTTCCACTATGCACCCATTTCAGCTGACTGATACTTCCGGCAGTGAAAGGACAAGGAGATCAACCAAGCAGGGGAAGAGAACAAGAGAAGAGGAGAAAAGAGGCTCCTGGAGAGAACGGAAGATAAAAGAAAGTCCTCTCAAACTATTTGAGGATCTCATTTTATGGGGGACATTCTCTTGAGGAATCCTTGTAATGCTACGACTACATGACCCAGGGTGGGTAGATAGATCCACTTTTACCTGAGTCTTGCTCTGGGGCAAATAATGGAGTTGATGTATCAGGCTGACTGGAACTGTGCAGGCCCTACACACTGTATTGACAGGTGTGATATGCATGACTCATCAGAGTACCACCACCGTAGCTGCCAATGATGGGAAATGACCAACGCCTGAAATAGTCAAGGTATGGGCCCAAACAACCCATAAAGTGGGTTTTTAATCTCCTCAACCTCCAACAGCACCTCCTCGCCTTCCTAAAGCTGCAAGTCTTTTAAGAAGGAATGGGGAGGATTCTGCTTTTCAACCTTTATACTTCTTGGCCATCTCTCAGTCGTTCCCAGCTCTTAACTCTACCCCACCTCTCCCACACCCAGGAGGAACGGGGGCTGCACTTTGTTTGGGCCATCCAGTCAGCTGTAATGGCCAAGAACAAGTTAAGGATGAACTAAGAACTTAAGGTAGGCTACAAGCTTGGAGAGGTAAGCAGAAATGTCAGAGAGCAAGGAAAGAGGCTCTTTTTGCTCTAGAAAGGAAGAAAATTAGGATGTGAATGGGGTAGGTTATGCAGAGGGAGAAAATGAGACTGGAAGTTGGTGGGTGTGGGAGGGTATGTATTTTCTACTTCCTTTCCAGGCTTCACTTGGCCCCTAACAGGTAAAAGAGGAAGGGTTCCATTAGACACAGCAGATACCCATGCAGCAACAGGTGCTTCTTCCTCCTGTTAGCAACACCCATATCCTCCCTGAAACCAAATGCAGACCCTCTTTGTATAAACAACAGGGGTGGAGTTGTAATGTGATAGTCACATTGAATGGCCCATTTCTGGCAAGAAAACACCTCTGTGCCAGGACATTCCTGAGGCAAAGGCAAACCAGCCCCATGACAGATGTAGTGCGGTTTCCTTCTTGCTCTTGGTGCAAGAGACACAGCTGCTCTACAACTTAGGCTACTGGATAGTGTGATTACTCTGGAGTGGGGAGAGTGGCTACAGGAAGAACACAGCTTATTCTCTCTCCATCTTCAGAACTTTACTATCCAGTCATGCCCCAGAGGAAGACATGTGATGGTGACTGGCTCAGCTACATCTAGCAGAGATGAGCCTGTTTCTCAGGCATCCCCTCAGCACTAGTCCTAACCATCTAGTTTTGAAAAAAGAAAAGGAAAGGAAAAGAAGAAATAGCTTATCAGGCATTCTCAACTTCTCTAGTTTTTTAGTGTCACTGCAGTAGTGTGTCTGGGGACAAAGCCATAAGAACAGCATACATACTCTGCTATATATATATAAGACAATGCGTCTGGATTAAAGAATGACCTTATGCCCAAGCATTTGCTCTGGTGCTGATTAATGTGAACCACTGGAATCACCCCACCACCACTCACAGCAACTCCTACGCCCCACCCCCAGGCCCCCACCTCCCAAATGAACCACAGTATTCCCGATTCCTTTATAAATAAAGGGATGCAGAGTTGCTCTTTTGCTTGCTTGCTGTGTGTTCTTCTGTGTTGGTTTGTGTTCCTGTCTGGGAGGTGTAGTTCAATGTGGATAAATACATGCATTGTAGTAGCTGCCCTGGGATAGTGGCTGGCTGCCCAGCTGTGACCCCAGCTGGAAGGATCTCACCCTACTATCTGTTGAATGAGGCCAAGTCTTGAAGTTGGTAGTGATAACTATCTTGTGATAGGCTTAACTATCACTTACAAGATAGTTAGGAACAGACTCACCTCACAAAATGTTACAGGAAGAGCAGTTTTCATATAGGAAGCTCCATTCCTACAGTAACAATAATTATAACACTAGAAAAATTACACCAGTATATTAAGCTGTTAGAAGGAATTGTTGAGGGGCTGGAGAGATGACTCAGTGGTTAACAGTGCTCACTGCTCTTCCAGAGGACTGGAGTTTGGTTCCCAGCTCACAACTGCCTGTAACTCCAGCTCCAGGGGATCTGAGACCCTCTTCCAGCCTCCTTGGGTTACCCATACACAAGTAGCATGCTTTCTCAGACACACACATATAAATAAAAAAAATAAAAATAAATCTAATTTTTTAAAAATTTAATTTTTATGTGTATGAATGTTTTGCAAGCATGTAAGTGTACCCATGCATGCAAATGCCCTCAGAGGCCAGAACAGGGTGCCAGATTCCCTGGACTGAGAGTTACCAATGGTTGTTACCTACCATGTGGGTGCTGGGAACCAAATCTGGGTCCTCTGCAAGAGCAGCCTTAACCACTGAATCGGAACCATCTCTCCAGCCCCCAAATAAATCTTTTAAAAAAAGAATTCAAAGAAAGCTTTGGTATCCGTCATGGTTGTTGAAATCACTAACATGTTTATTTTGATTGTGGACCAACAAATTCTGTTTGCACAGGAATGCCAGCGAGTATGAGCTTAGTGTAATGACAAATCCAAACTGTGCCTTTTCTCCTTTTAAAATATTTCCCAACCACCTGTTAAATAGAGCATCAGTGAAGTTGCAAGGATCCCAAGCCCACTCTGTGCCAGACAGAGGTGGATTTGCTGCTACCAGCAATCTAGCCACCCTCAAAGATTATTCTGCAATGTGAAATTTATCAGTGATATGCAACATTTGAGAATCTCCTAAGGGAACCCCTCCATTGAGTCTGGAGTGGAGGCTAGACCTCGGAGATTCTGATAGGGAACCAGGCTGAGAGGGTGCAGGTAGTAGTAATGTTTCATCTCAGGGAATAAAGATGCATGATCAACAGCATGGATAGCTAAGATGGCACCTGATCTGCTGTGGGGCCACAAAATTAACAAGTCCAAGTAGTATTGTTATTTCATTATCCAAAGAGAGGCTGTTATGATGATCAAAGTGTCATCAGTGGACAGATCGACAAAGGATAGATCAACATTTAGAAATGACAGTTGCCATAAAGCAACTATCTCAGTAACTGGTGAAAATGGGTGCTGGGTGTTAGTTTCTTAAAATCCAACAGACAAAATGGCTACTTACCACTGCCTGTTGCCACTAGCCCCGGGTGGCTAAAAAAAAAATAGTTAAAATTCAAAATTCAGTTCTTCAATTGCACTAGCTACATTTAACCACTGTGGCTCATGGCAACCATACCCATACAGTTTCTCTCAGCACAGATCTAGTGGTGGATGGCATCTACAGGAGCCATTCCCAGAGGGCAACCCCTTCTACACAATGCTTTATGATTTATTCATGTGATCAAAGTGTTAATCTATGTGTCATTATGAAGTGAACATCTGAAAATATTATCAGCAGACAATCACTTGTAAGCATGCATTATGAAGTCATTTGGGAAGGATTTTGAGATGAAGGACAAGGAAATAAAAGCACAATACACCATAGCACAGTGCTCTGCAGCAGTTTCATGGAACGAGTCAAGAGCGAGAGTCCTTTGTGAGCATAGTCCATACTTACTTTGGAACTTGAAACCAGGGCAGGAGCAGCTGCTACAAGAAAGCCCTTCCCAAGTCATGAATCTCATCCTAGCACAGTAGATGGCTGCTGGTAAAATACAGCTGTATATACAGCTGTAAAATTCTGAAACCCAAACTCACTTTTTAGACTTTTATAATCTTTGGGCAAAACAGGTAACATAAAAGTAGCTGATTGTGTGTGTGTGTGTGTGTGTGTGTGTGTGTGTGTGTGTGTGTGTGTGTGTGTGTGTAGAGCCAGAGCCAGAGCCAGAGAGAGAGAGAGAGAGAGAGAGAGAGAGAGACTCATATAGCTCAGGCTGGCCTTGAGCTATGTAGCTGAGGATGACCTTGAACTACTGATCCTCTGGCCTCCACCCACCAACGGTTGGGATTACAGCTGTGTGTCACTGTGCCTGGCTAAGTAGTTGATTACTGGTCACTTATATGAGTTTTTTTTTAAGTACCATAAAACATCCAACTTGATAACGGCCTTGGAATCCATGTAGTCCACCTCCAGAATTTTGTAGAGGAAACAAAGGCACAGTTGGCAGAATGAACTAGTAAGAGAACAATCAGGATTTCCTGGCATTAACCCTCCTGAAGAATTATTCAACTGCAAGGATTTGCCTTAAGTTTTCAAGACCTTTGTTTTCTAGAGATAAATATACAAAAGGGCAGTTATGTGACTTTTGTATTAAATTTGAAAAAGACATTCCTTCCCTACTGATTCCTCAGTATGAGTGACACATTGCGAAATAAAATGAAGACTACATCTTTTTATTTAGGAAGCACGTAATGGCATCTACGAATCTTTGGCAGTGCTGTTGCTCCTGCGTCATCTCCCACCCCTAAATGCCACGGAACCAATAGTCTTTTCATTGAACTCTTCGAGTTGTTTATCTTCAGAACATCCTGGCAGAAGGTCCCAAACTTACTTTTAAAGTAATTCCCGTGACCTTTTTTGAACTATAGATTCCTGAGCTTTAACCCTAGGAAATCTGAGTCAGTAGATCTGAGGTAGAAACCGGGACTTCACATTTAACCTTGTTGGGTCATTCTACCATAGATGTCTATAGCCAAGTCACACCACTTTGCCCTGGACAATGCCAATTTATGTCTGTTTACACAGTTTACAGCATACTAGTGTTCCTTTTCGTTCTCAGAAATGTCCTGACCTGATTAGACATCGCACAGTCTACTTCACCATATACCTGGACTGTACTTAGAAAGATGCCACTGTAATGGTCTATGGTTACACAGTGCTTGTGTTTTGCTCACAGGCTGGATAGTCCCTAAAATGTGACTTCAACATTCTCTGCTACAGAGAACCCAAATAACTGATTTTTCCCTCTGATCAATCAAAAGAATTTAAGTCAGCATCCTTGTGCACTCCTGGCACCCTGCAAAGAGCTTGCTGCTACTTATGTACGAACTTCAGCAATGAAAACAAAGTTTAAATTCGCAGGAGTAATGAGGATACAGACCACGAGAGCTCAAAAAACACACTGATGAGCTGTAATAACTACCATTTTATTGTTATGATCTCTGGGGTACAGAATTGCCCATGAGCTGCAGGATTAGGTTGGTTACGACAGACACCCGACTGTGCAGCAACTTATGGGAAACATCTGAGCCACGCACTTCTCTGGTTTTTCCAACAGTCACAGCACTCTTCTCTCCATGGCACACAGAGTGACAGATGACCCCATCCAGTCATTCTTCACTCATGACTGTGCACCAGCACAGAATATGGGGACTGGGCTTCTTTCTATAAACCACAAGGTTACTTGGGAACTGTGGACACATTTGCATTTATCACCACAACTAAATCAACAGAGGCACAAAGTGAATCAGATCAGATTTGTACTTACAGGTATAAATACTGTAAATGAACATTTATTTCATGAGTAACTTAATATTTGTGTCTTATCAAATTAGCAATTATTCCATTTAGACAACACTAATAAGTCAAGGAGTTATGAAGAGAAACTGGTAATGCAGGGAACTTTTCCCTTAATTGCAGCATTAGATTTATGCACAAAACTGTATTTCATGCCTTTCTACTCAGTTCAAGCACATCACAGGCATTCAGAAGTTGTGTTCTGGGACACAGTTCCATTTTAAGCACTTGGGTGGGAAACAGGAGCAGCAAATGGTGTGTCTAAACCTTAAGGAGCAATTATGACCTTCAATGATGCTACCACCAGGAACTCAGCAGAGACGGAGCTCTTCTAAGCATGCTCTTGTCCGGGACTGGCTCAAGCACAACTCAAGCTTCTGAGTGCAGCATATGAGAGAAGCAGCAGCAGCACTGAGCCAGGGGTAAGCCAAGGTGGCAATAGGACCCGATTCCTGCAACATCAAATGTAGCCTGCCGCAATTTGTTTCTTCTATTTTCAATGCTATGGATGGAAACCAGGGCCCCACGCATGTTAGGCAAATGCTTGGTCACTGAGTAACACTCCCAGACCAGTCCTTTGCATATTTTAAATCACTTAGTCCTTTATCTATTTGTAGGCGAACCTTGCCTTCACTGCCCACTCAAGATACACGTATTAGTGACTCTAGACACACGGACTAGATCCCAGTGGAGGAACTTGCACCAAGCGACATCTGGGGACACTAACTTGACTCAATAGTCCTTAACATAAATGACAGAAGGCATGAAACCCATTGGAGGGGTTTATGACAGGGTGTTGATGGGGAAGTGGGTATAAAGATGATCAAGATGTTGTGTATGAAATACACAAAAATTCAATAAAAATATACAAAAAATAAATTTTTAAAAAGGGAGCAGGTACAGGACCTGTGATGCCTTCGATTTTTCTCTTCCTGTTGGATAAACAGTTGGAAACATTCTGCCTCCTGGAAGGACTCACCAAAGGAGTCTGCAAAGATCCAGCCTGGCCCCCTTCAGCAGTAGGCAGTTAAGTCTTCTCACATCCCTACGGTTATAGGATTTAGTTGTCCATATGCCAGATTCCTAATTAAACATGTAGGTTTTTAACCTCAGCATTTAAGATAAAGGCATAAGTCAGCTCTTCCTGAAAATATATAGTGCTGTCTAATAAAAAAAGACCAAGGCTTCTCAAAAGAGTTCAAATGACAAGATGATGGACATTATGTGAAAGGGATGTAATGAAGTAAACAGTATCACCGGTGACGCCACCTGATTTCACGAACTCCTTTGGGGACATGATATTCAGTATGGCTAAATGCTGAAGGCCCCTGACTTGCCAGAAGTTAACTTTCATGACTTCCTTGTGTCCACCATATGTCAACAGTCAAAACAGTCATGTTAACACCTCTCTCAGGAAGTAGTTGTTATTAATATGTATTTTGTTGGAACTAGGCAATTTTCAATTTGGAATGCCGAGATGAACCGGATAGCACTTAGACCAGTCCTACCTGCCAGACTTTAGCATCTCTTTACTGAGCAAACTGCAGGACCAGCACCGTTTAGTTACACTGCACACATGATCTTTGACAGTCATGTTCTTTTGGTCCATTTGCAAAAGTTACCCAGAACATTTAAATTAATAGGCCACATTTAAGAAGAGTTAGTACTACTTAATGGAATGCTCTTTACTATCTGAAATACAGAATCGTCACTGAAAAGCCATGAAGCAAATGTTCAGCAAAACCGAATTTCAGGGATCTTCTATGAAACTCTTAAAGGGTGTTATGAGACTTCTACCTCCTACAACAAAGGAAATTTGGATGTAATTTCTCATGAAAAGGGCAAGTTCAGGTATCCTGGGTAAGCTCATACTTCTGAGATGACAACACTTCTGAAACTCTAGGTCTGAAATTTAGACAAGAATGATTAAATCTGAATATACTGTGAAACCATTCCAGACATTCTTATCAAAGCCTACTTCCCGAGACAGGCAAGGGAATGAAAGTACAAGTCTTAATAACAAAAGCAGAGTAACATACAATGTCAATTTCATCTTTAGTTTTACCTTTCTGCATTTTTTTTCCTTTAACTGTACACGTGCTGCAAAACCACACCTGGGTTGAACACTTTCATACATTCTCTCCCCTGATACTTCGCTTCAAGCCATCATTTGTAAAGAAATAAAAATACAGCCCTTATTTACAAAAACTTAGTGGAATCCTAAGTTAGCTGGAATGAAACTGTACTTCTTCACTTTTGCCAACTATAAAACGAAAAAGTTAGAGCAAGCTTAATGGACTCCTGCAATGATTAGAACTTTAAAAGAATACAAGTATAATTTGATACTTTTGGGAAATAGAATGTGAAAAACAAATCCAAAATATCTCGCTATGTAAATTAAAGCTCAAGCCATGGTATTCAAAATGAAAATGATTTACATAATCTACTATACTTTGTTTTTTCAGTAATTAACCTTCCTGAGGCTGATTTTGTTCTCCTTAGTGTTTGCTTAACTAAAGTACTTAATAAAATTTCTACAGAATATATTACCCTCTCCATAGATGAATATTATTTTGAACTACAATCTGACAAAAATCTAACTACATTTAATTATGCTTGATTAATCCAAATGTCACTGAGAGATTTATAGAACAGAGAAATCTTCTTCAGGTTAAGTTCATAGTCTTTTCACTGTAAGCCTTCTGGATCTGGTAGTGCCACAGATTTGTATTTCAATTTGTCCTAAAAGTGGACGATGAGACTCCAAACATCAAACTGTGTTTCTTATTACTTCTAAGAAACTTTTAGACAGACCTCTGTTAAAGGCTGACGTCACCACTTTGAATTAGTTGATGCTGTGCCTGCAGTCACCCACATAAAAGGGGAAAGGGTGTTGGGACATGAGGTCAGTTCTCCACCTTTGGTAGAATTTTTGCACACCAAAAATGCACATACAGGATGTCTTACTACTTAATTTAAAATACCCGAAGGATATTGTGAGATGGGTGGGGTGTTCTTTAATATAGGTACATAAATATATCAAACATCTATTTGGAAATTTTCAGCATTGCTGCTAAACGACCTACTTATGGGAATAATTAAACATTGCCCAAACCTTCTCCAGTCAGTTCTACCTCCTAGGAACCAGAGGGGGCGGGGACAACAGTCCCCATTGTGGCTCTAATATTCCTCAGGGGAAGGAGGACTACTGCCAGAGAACTGTGATACACATGATGTGGCAGCCTGTGTTCTGGCCACCCCAACCCTATCGTGGAGATTAAGGGGAACTCATGTCTCTACTTCAGTGGCAGATGGAAATGTGGAAACAGGTTTCTCCAGACTTCCATGGCTGAAATATCATCATTTTCAGGGGTGAACACAGCTGATACGACCAGCATGCTTGAGAGGGAAGCTTTCTTAGATACTCCTTTCCCCCACCTTTGAAATAAGTCTAGCAGGGTTAAGTAGGGTCTCTCCCGACAAGCAGTAATTTTAACTCTAGCATCATTATCCAGGTATTTAAGTAGCCCCAGCTAGCCTGAACTTGCTATGTAGACCAGTCTACCCTGTGTCTGGGAAGTGCAACCATGCCAGACTTACTTTTAAACTTTTATTTAGATGATCTAATCTAAATTTTTTTTTTTTTACAATGTTCTACTATTCTTCTCTCTCAGGTTCCTTCTTTCCCTGGCTCCCTTCCATATTCCTGGTTCCTGCAGCTACATCAGGATATGCACTCACTTATAAAGATTTGGTGCTAGGATCCACAAATGAGGGAGAACATACGTCTTTTGTTTTTCTGAGTCTGTTACTTCACTTAGTGTAACAATCTCTACGTTGTTTTGTATGTGCATGTGGAGGTCAGAGGACAAGTTACAGGAGTCAGTTCTCACCTTCCTCCATGTGGGACCCAGGGATTGAACTCAGGTAGTCAGGCATTGGTGGCAAGCACCTTTACCCACTGAGCCATCTTATCGGCCCTTAAATGATCAGTTCTTTTTTTCAAATATTTTGTTATTTTTATTTTATGAGAATATTGCCTGCATATGTGTAAGTGCACCTGTGTCATACAATGCCCATGGAGGTCAAAAGAGGGCACTGGATCCCCTGGAACTGGATACGGATGGTTGTTAGACACTATGTGGGTGCTGGGATTCAAATCCTGGTCCTCTGCAAGAGCAGTCAGTCCTCTTAACTGTTGAGCTATCTGTGCGGCCCCTTAAATGGTCATTTCTGAGTCCTAAAAATATCTACCTGAACCTGTGGTGAGATTATGTCACAAAGAGCAGCTCACATCATTCAGTGAAATTTGACTGTGAAAGCTGGCCCCTCTCAGCTGACCACTGCTCCCTGTTGGTCAGCGCAATGACCAACATTGGGCTTAGTTCCCTGTCTATCTGAAGCTGTAGTCCAGGGACCTTGGCAGGGCCTTGCTGAGTCCAGTAAAGAGCCAATTACAGAAGGCACTCAAAAATTCAGAGTGATTCAAAAGAAATAACATAGGAAACTTTAATCCTCCTCCTGAGGAACACATCTGTCCCTGACGAAACTTCCCCTGCTTCACTTTCTCTAACAGTCATTTCCCAAGTGAACTGTAAAATTATCTAGTCCTATTAGAACATGAGCTCATGATGCAGGGACTTCTCTGCTTTGATCATCAGTCTGCACTGAGAACAGTTTCTAGCATGTTGCAGACACTGTACATTACTGAAATGGAAGCCCAGATATCATTTCTCTGTCTGGCACTGTCATTTTCAGCAGTTTCCTTTACATGAGGATGCCTATGTTCATCTGTCAATTTCACACCAGTACGGCTTAGGGTAAAGACCAGCGTTACAGGCAGGCCCTGCCTTAAGTGGAGCTGGGGGAAGGAGCAAGGCTATCATTGCACGCCTTGATCCTGGTATGGAAGTTTTGAGGGTGATAAAAGGTCGATACTGGATATTAGAATGCCCTGGCCACTGAGGGAAGAAAGCTTCAGTCCTACAGACCAAAATAAGGCATGATGAAGGTGTCATGCTTTCCAGCCATCCTCCTTCCCCTCTTCCCCTTTCTTCCTTCTCTTCCTCTCCTTCACTTTTCTTTCACACAGGGTCTCATTATGTAGCTTAGGCTGGCCTCACACGTACTCCTCCCCCATCTCCTGCTGGGACTGCAGTTGTAAACCACCATAGCCAACACATAATTTTTTATTTCTTAATGAACCACATTTAAGAATGGTTGATTGAAAAGAAAGGTTGAAAAGAAACATGTGCCACAGTAAAGCTCAGAATGGTTATCACTCTCAGTGAGACTGTTTACAATCTGTTAATAAAGTGAGCTTCTATGTCTCTTCATAACGCACATTATGCATGAGTTTGAAATACTCTCATTTTTAATTAACCAATTAATCACTGTCAATGGCTGATAACTTCTCAAGTTCATTAAAATTTCATATGTCCCCTATTTTCAAACCAGAAGGTACTGATATCTCTAATCACTATGACAGGAACTTGAGTTAAAACTTATCTTTCCACACAGAACACCAAACAAAATCCTGTATCGATTAAGCTGTTAATGGTCTTTCCTGCTGGCAATATTGGTTCCTTCTGTTTACTAACATATAGCTTATGAAGGACGTTATCTTCAAAGTCAATGTTTAAGCACCTGGAGCACTGGGAAAGATGGCAGGGTAAATGTATGTTTATATAAGTGCACTACCCCTCCCCAGCACACATGTCCAAAAACTGAGCAAAAAGCTATTTATAACAAAACTAATAAAAGCCACAGCCCCATACCATGAACTCCAGGGGCATGCCTGACAGATAAAACAAAAGACACATAAGTATGTTCTGGAAAAAGAATGATTTCAGAAACTATGAAAAATTTAGATCAAATTTAGTCCTCAAAGAAAGAGAATAAGGAGTCAAAGAGGATAACACAATGAGCCAAGAGAAGTAAATGAAAAATAAAATTTTCATAGACAGAAGCAAAAGTCACATTGCAAGCCACAAGGCCTAGGAAAAACTAGGGAAAAGAGCCAGTGAAATGGAGAGCAAGCCTTGAGAAAAAAAAATCACACGGTACTAAGGAAGACAAGGAAGTAAAAGCTACCAAAATGAAGATATGAAGATGGATGGATGAAAGATGGATGACACAGAGTCGATAGAGGAACAAGTTTTTATAGAACAGTGTAACAGTATAAAATAATACAAAATGCAGTAAGGTCTGAAATGTCTCACTGTGTACCAGGAAAAGCTACCAGACAACTACCAGTCCTAACATATACTCACATGTAATGACGTAATTTCAAGGAGAAACAAATGAAAATTGTAACCAAGGTAAGCAGGCAGGAAATGGGAAGGAAAATCCATCTGGACTCAAAGACTTCTAAGCACCAGCAGATATAGACAGTAAAATAATGTACCTAAAGAATCTGGGGGAAAGGTGCTCCAAGATTCTGATAGCCAGCCAAGTTATTACTTACGCAATAGCAATAAAAAGAATGTGCAAGAGAATCTAATTGAAGCTGTAATGCAGTCTAGCAAAACATGAAATAAACTCTCAAATGTGGTCTTTGTGCAAAAAGGCGGGCAGAGAGCACTGATCTCAGTCAAACAAACTCTAGTCACGACCTATTCTGTACTCTTAAAAGCTGCCCAATCTGCTTGTCTCCTCTGACTATGCCAGAAAGGACATACATGAAAGAAAACTTTTCCTGAGTGAAATGATCTTACATTATAGAAAATTTTTGGTTTACAGCTTATCCTTGAGGACTAACATGTCCCAGAAACTCCTCTAAAGGGATAATGTTAATCACCTGGCATATTGTTCAGAGAATTGGCTCAGGAACAAGAAGACCCAAGCACTGGCTTTGGTGCCGCTGGTCACTTGCCATGCCTTCTTGGCAAGTCACTGTACTTTGGAACTCACTTGAGAAGAAAGAGATAGTTTGCATAGTCCACCTCTTGGAATTGTAAGGATCACATGGGATGCTGAATGTGTAAGTTCTTTGGGCTCTCTAGGAAGGCTGTAAAACCATGTCACTAGATAAAAGAAGCCCTGGATTATGGATCCAAATCAGATATTGAGAGACAAAGAGCCAGATGGCTGCTATGGATCCAACTCTAGCCCCTGTCACTTCTCCATATTTTAAAGCCATATTTATCCTTGACACGACAAATATGTATTGAGTACCTACTATGCGCCAAGCACAGTTTCAAATAGTATACGTGGCTCCCAATGTTACAACAAAGTAAATGAGAGGGCATTTCAGAGAAATTGAGAAGGATTCAGCTGAAAAGGGTCAATTTTGACTTATATCATAACCTGGTATGTGGAAACTCAAAGAAAAGCCAGAGAAATGTACTTGAGTTCAGAGGATTATGCACAGTCAGCAGAAAGGAGACAGAAACGGGGAGAGTAAACTTTGGGAATTCAAGACGTTCCTGAAACTCTTCTTACAGTTGCTTTAGAAGAGAACTACTAGTCTTGATGATGGAAACAAAGACAGGAAGGAGCAGTTAGAATGTACCAGACTCAGAGGACACCAGCAAACCCAAAAAAGGATTATAAAGGACTATGGATTAAATCATTAAAACATGGAAAGAAAGCATTCCCTTTGAAAAAAGACTTGCAAAGGCTGTTACAAAATTTTTCTACACCATAACCAACCCTTATGTAGTATTTGTTATGGGTGCATGGGAATCAATGGGGGACCCTCAAACAATAAAAGCAGTGTTCATTCAAGGCAATAAAGTACCACAACCAGAATCTGTTGACTCCTTCTCTTACAGTCTAATGCACTTGAAAGTGTAAAGATGATTGGAGATTGAAACCTAGAAAGATAGCAACATACTATCTGAAGCTTATAAGGAAACTGGGATCTTTGAAAATAAAGGACCATCATTTTTACAGCTTTTCCATCAGAAGAAAACAATCATATGGAATATCTCAACCCTCAAGGCACTGCCTTGGACCTCAAACCAATAAGCCTCTCTCACTAACCTCTTGGAAGTACATCAAAATTTCTTTTTATCCATTATATGTGACTTCTGTAATGAGGTTTTTCTAAAGATAAAAGAAGCCACCAGGAGCTCAGGTAATATAGGGAAATCGAAGAAAATCAGACACCCTGTAACTAAGAGAGGCAGAGTTGCAATCGAGCCAAGTACAGCTTGTCAGAGCAAATTTCCTAGGGAAAAAGCCTTCACTGTGGTAGCTGTGAGGAAAACTACACTATAGAAATAGTGTGACTAAAGAACGAGGAATATTTTACAAGCTAAACTTTTTTGAGACAGAGTCTTGGTACATAGCCCCGGTGAGGTTCTCCCACCTCAACATCTACAGTACTGGGATTACAAGCGTGTACCACCTCGCCTGGCTACAAACTAAAACTTCTAAATCAGTGGATTCAATACTGAAAAACTGGATAGCAAAAGAAGACAGAAGTGAAGGTGGATGATTTATATGAAAAATTGTAGTGAAGAAAAATATCCTGTGGTGTTAGATCAGATATTGGACTCTGATAGCTTCTATTATTAAAGGTAAATATAACATTTCTCTTCCCTTACCCAAAGTCCTCTCTAATTCTTACTTCCAACTTTTGGCAAAAAGGTTTATGAAAATCAGATTGAGTGGATAGTTCTAATGCTAGCTAAAATTAAGAATGAAAATTATGGAGACCTATAACATTTTCCAAAATAAATTAGAAAGAATATTCCCTTCTGGCAGTCTATTTTACAATGAGTAAAGTGCATCACACAGGAAGTTCTAATTCCTAAGATGAGTGCAAAGGAATGCCATATGACAAAGGAAGTGTTAGATTGGTGAAATTTTATGGAAGCATAAATCTACACTTCCCACTCTTTATAAACTTGATATTGACAAGAAGGCAGTTTTTCACTTAAAAGTTTTGAAACCAACTTGTTAAGTGAGAATTTCCAAGACAACTTTTGGATCGCTTTAATCAATGGAATGAAAGTATACAAATGAATTTAAAAAAAAAATCAATACAGATGAGTAAGATCTAACATGAAAGTACCACACCTCAAAATGAGAATATATCCAGATGGAAGGCAGCCAAAGTCTAAATCAGAGAGTGGAGGAGGGATGCACAGGGGAGAGAAAAGCCATGGGACTTAATTTTCAAGATGTGTTCCACTGATGCCTATCACTCCCAGACTCCCCACACCCTAGCCGGAGGGTCGGAATATATCCTGGTATTTGGTCACGAGCAGCAACAATAGGATCTGCTGTATCTAGAATGAAGAAGGAAGGAGCTCAGAACCTTGGGAAGACTTCAGACACTAAACTCCTAATAACAAGATAGAGCCTATGGGCATGAGAGCTCTAAGGAAGCTTTGTGTTCTTTTCTGACAGGCGCAATGATGCCACAGCAAGATACAATGAAAAATTACCCAAGCTGCTATTTTAGTGCAAGAGCAGACTGGAGGAACTACAGGAAGGGCTCCATGGAAATGTCGAGGAAATAACCCATTCAAGCATTAGGAATAACTATAGTGCCACATTTAAGAGTTGGTAGAAGAAAGGTCTCTGGTTGACTTGCAGAAGATAATCTTTCTTCAGAGAGGACCACAGCACTCAGTTTTCTAGAAAGTTCTATTAGTCTTGATCTTGTCCCTATAAAAAAAGAATCCATAGAGTTTATGAGTATAGCTTCCTCTATTTTTAACCAAAACTTACTCAGATATGCAGTGATAATTTTTTTCAACTCTGAATTATTTTCTATAGTTACTACAGAAAAATATCAATTAATTACAAATGTAAACCTTAAAACAGTTCTTTACACTCAATGAAAAACTTGATTAGAACTGTAAAGTGACTGCTAATGCATAGGGAATTTCTTCTTGATGTGAGAAATCATCTAAATTTAGACAGTGGTAAGGGTTACAAAACTGAATATATATAAAACATCTGAACTGTATACTTTAAAAGATACGGTGTAAGAACTGTACCTCAATAAAGGCGTCAGTTCAAAAACTATCCAGAGAATAAATTTTCCTAGAATCCTTCATATATACACATCTACTTTATCATTCCTACTCCTTTACCAATAGTCCTATTTATAGAGCTCAATGGTTTTAATTGTCAAGCTAACCATTTTAGAATTTAATTTTTTGCTAAAATTTGTTAAGCTACCTAGAAGTTATTTTTTTCTTTTTTGAAACAAGATCTCACTATGTAGTTCTAGCAGGCTTGGAACATGCTACTATGTAGTCCATACATAGGATTAACAGGCATGAGCCACCATACCATGCCCAGCTAGAGTGTTTTAAATTGCCTTGGAAACAGTATTCAATTAAAGCTACCAATCCACACCCCAAATGACTCTTATTAAGGATGGCTTCTGGACCATCCAAATTACTCTACCTAGCTGAGTAATAGTTTGAATTAACTGGTCAAACTGATGCCCAACATACTATGTAGCTTACATACAGACTAAAAATGGAGTCATAGGAAACTGATCTGAAACAGGCTTTCAAGCTACTCAGCTTATTACTGGCAGAGAACAGTGAATGTGTGTGTAAGTGGAACTAAGAGAAAAAGAGCTGTAATTAAGCCCATATAGTTGGCCAGAGCACAACTCCTCCCAGAGGGGTAAAAAAATCATGCACTGTAGTGACAGCAGGGATAAGTTTACTGCTACTCTCATATGACTGATGGTGGATGACTAAATCCCTCCAGATATTATTATTTGAGAAGAGTGGCCCAGAGATCCATCATGATATCTCTGTAGGAAAAAACAAACATCAGTACAGATGCTCTTCAGCCTTCCATCACTCATCAGAAAGCAGCAGTGCTTGCTATATGGCACAAGACTGCCAAGTTACATAAATTATATCTGCCCACAAATGTTTCTGTTCTATTATGTTGAAGATATTAAGAATCAAAGTTTGTGGGCCTGAAGAGATGGCTCAGTGGTTAAGAGCACTGGCTACTCTTGCAGAAGACCTGGGCTCAGATCCCAACACCCACATGATGGCTAACTAACAACCATCCATAACCCCAGTTCCAGGGGATCCAACACCCTCTTCTGGCTTCTGCAGACACTGCATGACATGGGTGCCCTTACATACATGCAGGCATAACACTCATACATATAAAATAAGAATAAATAAATAAATAAAATTGAGAAAGAATCAAAGTTTGTATGGTAAGAAGTGCATTGAATAAAAATGTATTAGGAAGAAATAATGCAATGTTAAAAAATATAATCAAAATATCAATATGAACTTAGGTGTATGGGTATATATATAAATATAGATGCATGTGTATATATAAACCTGTCCAGAAAAAGGGCTTAGGAAAGCTGGAATGAGCACTCCATAATACCCATTAGAAAGAAACAGGAAATGGCTGGTTCCAGTAAGAAATGGCTGATTTCTGGACAGGGGCATAGAGGGCATAAGATAAGCTTAGGATGCCATCTTGGTCCAGAAAGTAGGGCAATTTTCAAAAATTAATGCACTTTTGTCAATGGAACACAGAAGATCAAATTCAAAATAACTCCCATTACCCAAAAGTGTGCCAATTTGAAGAGCAAAACGGACAATGAGCACTATGTATAGAATCATGAACAGATTTCACAGGAGGCCAAGCATGGCGAGGGTGCATATTCCACATGCCTTTTGTTATATGCCTAAAAAGAAAACCTCCAGTGATAGATAGAAAACATCTAATATAGTAGAGAGGAGAGGAGAAGAGTCTGTGTAAAAAGCAATCTTTCAGCGATTTTACAGAGATGTAAAAGTCTAGCAAGCCATAGATTTAAGATCTGTATACTTTACAAATCTTCATACTTCAATAAAATAAGTACTGAGTATAGCACATAAAAGCTATTAAATCTACAATGCTCAAAAAGACAAAGCAAAAAATTAATTTGCTATCCTTTAAGGTGATTTTTTTAAATGAAGCTGCTTACCTTAAAAATAAGTAAAAGGGAATTGAATTATCCCTTTAGTTAAAATAAGAAAAAGTTAAACACATATTAGAACTGTACTTCATAATTTTAGTTGATGAAAAGAGCTATACTTTATAGGGAGATATCAGCTAATTATCAAAGAATGATTTTTTTAAAAAAGAAATCATAGCCAGGTATGGTGGCTCACACCTTTAATTCCAGTGCTTGGAAGGCAGAGGCAGGCAGATCTGTGTGCAATCAAGGCCAGCCTGGTTTACATAGGGTCCAGGCCAGCTGGGGCTACAGGGAGATTCTGTCTTAAAAGGACAAAAAAAAGATGATTTGGGAAGGACACGGTGGCACACACCTTTAATCACAGCACCCAGGAGGTAGAGGCAGGTGGATCTCTGGGAGATCAAGACCAGCCTAGTCTATATACCAAGTTTCAGGTCACCCAGGGCTGAAACAGGTGGTATATGGTAAGATCCTGTTTCAAAAAGAAGCACCCCCACAAAAAAAACAACAGATCATAAACAAACAAAAAAGAGAGTAAAAGTCCATTTTACAAAGACTAATAAAACAACTGATTTAGGGACAGTATGACTTCTTCCTTTCTAATTTGGGTACCAGTATTTCTTTCTCTTTCCAATACTATGTTGAATGAAAGTGGTGAAAGTGAGTACCCTTGTCAGACCAAAATGACCAAGTGAGGTAAAAGCCATTAGGTGAATGGCTTGATGGGTAAGTAAAATAACACCACCCAGATTAGCTTCTAGTGAATAAAGGGGAAATTAGACTATAGAAGGCTCAGACAGCCATCACTTAAATTATGGTCTACCCTAGTGTAACTGATGGTGGATCAAGCAGAAATCACAGGTCTCAACATGTAATTCTGCAACAGTGTCAATGGAGTATTCTAGGAAAAAAAAAAAGCTCTATTGTGAGCCTTTACATCAACTTCTGATATATAGCAAATATGGGAATGAGGAACAAGCTAAATGATATTTTGGAGAAGAAACTAAATGAATCAAGGTGGGATTACTTTTCAGGACAACTGGCACAGCCTTTCAACAATAGCACCTTCTGGATTTAAAACAACTTGAAACTACTCAGATATATTATGTGGTCCTGGACAGATCCCAGTTTGGACAAATCAGGAAAATTTTAATGAGATGAAAGCTACTGACACGGAAAAGTAGAGATGGTTAAAGGAAACAAAAGTATGTTGTTTAATAGTACAAAAAGCAGGAACTCACTTGGGGAGTGTGCGTGCACGCACATGCGTGCACACACACAATAGCAAATTATGTAAGAGAATATACACAAAGCTGATCTGGTAGCTGTGTGAGTAGTAGAAATACTATGGCTTCTCCTTTTTGCACTTATGTTTCCTAGGGTTTTGTAAAATGCATATATATTGCCTTTCCATTAACAACAGGTTATTTTAAATAGAATAAACAGAACCTTTACTCTTGAAAGTAAAGTTGGAGCTTAAAGAATACTCAAAAGAAAAAAATAGTAAACCAAAGACTGGATTATTTTCCTTATTAACATAAAAAGATGACAGCTGTTTTTCTGTGATTAATAATTTTCTATTTTTAATTTTTACCATGATGAACTCACTATCCACTATCTAAAGTGTACAGGTCAGTGGCACTGGGTATATTCACACTGTTGTGCAACCATCATCATTATCTATCCCAAGAGCTTTTTCATCACTGAAAACAGAAACTCTGTACTTATTAGTAATTCCTCATTCCCCCTCTTTCCATCCCCACCCCCACCCTGGCACCCACCCTTCTACTTTCTGACTCTATGAAATTGATTACTGCAGTTATCTTATACAAGTGGAATAATACTATTTGTGCTTCCTGGAAAGGCTTATTCCACACAATGACTTCAAGAGTCATCCACACTGCAGTATATATTCGAATTCCCTTCCAAATAATATTCCAGTGTATGAATACTACGTTTTATTGGACCTAATTATAATTTTAACTTAATTTTGTTCAGTTTTAATCCAGAAAATTTCTCTAGGGGGCCTGGAGAGTTGATTCGGTGGTTAGGAGCACTGGCTGCTCTTGTATAGGACGTTGGGTTTGGTTCCAGGCACCCACATGGTGGCTTACAACTGTCTGTAACTCCAGGGGATCCAACACCCTCTGGCCTCCATGGGCACGGCATGCACATGGTGCACCTACATAGATTCATGCAAAACACTCATACACACAAAATAAAAATAAGTAAATAAGTAATAAAACTGCTCCTTTAAAAATTTTTGGGGGGGCTACAGAGCTGACTCAGCGGTTAAGAGCACTGGCTGTTCTTGCAAGGGACCTGGGTTCGATTCCCAGCACCCACATGGTGGTTAACAATTATCTATAACTCCAGGGGAATCCAATGCCTTCTTCTGTCCTCTGTGGGCATTGCACGACATGGATGCACTTACATACATGCAGGCAATACATTCATATACATAAAATAAAAAATAATGAAATATAAAAACATTTTTCTCTAAACATTTTTCTGTCACTCTCTAAGGATGACAACAAACTATAGATCTAATTGCTTTTAAAATAATATTCAGAGCAACATAAGCCCCTGCTGGGCACTAATACCCACAGAATGCATGGATTCCTAGGACACTGAGAGTTTGATTGGAACAGTGACTCTTGCTACCCAATTCTTGTTCTCCTTCGGCTTGGAATAACAGTCTTTCTCCAGTCTTTCTTTCTCTAAGGATCATTTTGCTTTTCTAGCGATAAAACCGCAAAGAATATCTGGTGTAAAATACCGGTGAAATTGTCTAGCTGGTGCTTTTGGAACAAGTCAGATATTTTATAGTGGAAATCAAAGTGGTTTATTACTGTTTAGCCTTGTATTTTGATGCATCCCTTGGTTCACTGCTGGGGTTGCTCCAGTCATCAGCTTCAGGAGTGGTCTTGTAATGGCGCCATGCAGACTTATTGAAAACTGGCAGCCGCTCAAATGATTCACTTGAAAGAGCCTATTGGAAAAAAACATACGCCACACATCCATGATGCTGTTCTTCTCACATGAAACACATAGATTTTACTATTTTAAATACCAGTAACCATAACGTATATTTTTGAAATTATATTAAAATTTTATTTTAGAAGTTTACTTAGACTGGCCTGGAAAAAACCCTGAGGCTTTTTTAAATGAGTGAAATCATTTGCTCACTCATTGAAATACACATGACAGGAACAAAATGCATTTTAATTTGGTTAGTACTGCTTTGAGGTACTCAATAATTTTGACAATATGGTCTAAGATCAAGCCTTTTTGTTCAGCAGCCAATTTGCTGCCCTAAAAGGGCCCAGGAAGAAATAAAGTCTCATTCATATCATATACATAAACATGCCATCACACGAGATCAAAACATCACCTTACTCAGGGCCTGGGAATGCAGCTCAGTGGTGGAGAGCATATGTAGCATTCAGGGGCTCTGGGTTTCACACCCAGTACCAAAGCAAGCACACAGACCACATCACTGAGATGCACTGATATTTAAACAATGTTCCAAATAACTAAGTTATGGTACCACCTGTAGTAGCATAACACACAGTAGTTCAAAACAATGAGTCGAAGCTGGTCATGGTGGCGCACACCTTTAGTCCCAGCACTTGGGAGGCAGAGCAGGCAGATCTTTGTGAATTTGAACCCAGCCTGGTCTACACAGCAAGTTCCAGGTGAGCTGAGGCTACAGGGAGACTCTGTCTCAAAAACAACAACAACAACAACAACAAAAAAAAACCAATGAGTCAATTCTACTTGGACTGATGCGAAAAGATTCACAAGATACATTCCAAAGTTAAGAAACAAAACCAGCTCCTGAAATTTCTTTTAGATTAGATTCTTTAATACATTTATAAATGCATAATCAACTCTATCATCACAGTGCTGTGTTGGTTTTGCTTTTGTGATACTGGATTTGGAACCCTGGGCCTTGTGCCTACTACGCAAGCTCTGTATTACTGACTTATATCCTCAGCCTCTATAAACACAGAGTCAACTCCAGGAGGATCTGGAAGAAACCGAGACCCACAGCTCAATTCTGGGGCAGAGAGAAGTGTGGCTTAGCAACAGCAGTGGCATATTTCTTTACCCTTTACAAGCTTTTAATTTCTTTACTGTTTGCCTCTGTGACCTACTGAAATAATATACCAAAAGTCTAGAATTCTGAACTTGAAGTCTAACACCACTAATATGTGAAAAAAAAGTTACAGAGAACCTGGTTATTAAATTACCATTTTAAATGCCTATTATGATTTTGTTGATTTTTAAAATTACTATACAAAGGAATAGGTTTTATGAAGGCATTTTCATACATAATTTGCTTTTGCTGATTCTCCTCCCTTACCTCTTCTCTTCCATGCCATCTGTCCACACCCCATACCCTTCCAACTCTACATTTCCACCGTCATGTCACATGTACTCTACCTTTCCCCCATTCTCAAAACCTCTTTCTTCCCTGTCACAAACATCTATATTTTTATGACCTATGCTCACACTCATTTCCACATATGTACACACATATAAAAATTAAAAGTTAGGCTGTATATGAGAAAGCATGTGGTATTTGTCTTTCTGAGTCTGGGTTACCTCATTTAATATAATGATTGCAGAGATCAACATTTTATATAAGCATATTATCACTACTGGATTCTTTTGTTTGGATGGTTGGTTTCGTTTTTTTTTAATTTTTTTTATTCATTATTTTTTGTCTTTTTGAGACAGGGTCTCCCTGTAGCCCCAGCTGTTCTGGAACTCACTATGTAGACCAGGCTGGCCTTGAACTCACAGAGATCTGCCTGCCTCTGCCTCCCGAGTGCTGGGATTAAAGGCGTGAGGCACCATGCCTGGCTCATTTTTTTTTCTTTTTATTATTTTTAAGATATGGTCTCACTATGTAGCCCTGGCTGGCCTGGAAGTTACTATGTACACTGGGCTGGCCTTGAACTCTCATAGATCTGCCTGCCCCTGCCTCCCTCGTGCGGGGATTAATGGCATAAGCCCCCATGCCTGGCCTCTATTCTCACAACTTGGAAAAATGGGTAAACTTTTTTTTTGAGACAGGGTTTCCTTATAGCCCCAGCTGGCCTGGAAATCACTATGTAGACCAGGCTGGCCTCCATCTCACAGAGATCTGCCTGCCTCTGCCTTGCAAGCGCTGGGGTTAAAGGCATGCATCACCATGCCTGGCAAAATGAGTAAACTTTTAAAGCAAAAGACTTTTAGACTTCAGATCATTGAAAAAATCTGTCTCTTTTTAAAACAAGGTCTTTCAATGGACATAAAATTTTTGAAAAACTTCAATTTAGCTTTATGGTTATAAAAATCAAAAATTTAAGTTTTACTTCTCCATGTTTCATACTTAGTTATGTCTGAACATAAAATCATGGGTGAAGTATACTGTGGTTTTCATAAATCTGAGCTTTAAGAGATGGATACAGCACTGTTCTTGACTGGTTATGAGAACTTGCAGCTTTCAAAAGTGAAGAGGCCATTACACTAACAGAAACAAAATGCAGTACCTTCAGATAAATGACAGCGTCGGTGCCAACTCCTTCCATGGAATACAGTTTGAGGTCTCCCTGAAAATATCTGGCATATAGTCGAGAAATTGGCAAGCCATAACCAAATCCAGCCTGTTAAGAGAAGAAAATAGATGAGACTGGTACTGATGCTTCACAAATGACCGCTTAGAGAAGATTAACATGAACCCCTGGTCCAGATTTAAATCAAATGAATTATTAACTCAGCCTTTACAATGATGTGTATGTTTATCTATGGCAAAACATTTCCTTATTTTCACTCTGAAAAAAACTTCTCAACTTTGGATAACAGAACAATTCCTATTTTTTGGCTAATGCTTTTATTTTGGAATTTTAAAGTAAATTTTTAGCTATGTCCTCAAGGGCAACTTTTTTTTTTTTTTTTGAGACAAGGTTTCACATATCCTAGGCTGGCCTTGAACTTGCTATGTAGCTAAGGTGGACCTTGAACTTCTGATCCTTTTGCCTCCACCTCCTGAGTGTTAAAATTACAGGTGTGCACTTCCACAAAGTGTTGGGGATGAAACTCAGGGCTTCGTCCATGCTAGGCAAACTTTCTACCAACTGAGCAACACCTCAAGCCCTAAGGTTACTCTTAAAACGTGAATATCCAATCAAGTGGAATTTGATCTGACAAAACAAAACCACATTCACTTCCAAGTTCAGTTATCAGGTTTCCTTGCTGCCCAAAGTGAGAACTAACAGCAGAGGAGTTGAAATCTACCAGTTATAAGGCTAAAACACTGAAAAGAAAATAATTTCCTTAGCAGTTTCTTCCTAAGGTTCTGAAAAAGCTACAGTATATTAATAGAGTACATATACACATTTTTTTTCTTTTTGGTCTTTTTGAGACAGGGTCTCCCTGGAGCCCCAGCTGGTCTGGAACTCACTATATAGACCAGGCTGGCCTTGAACTCACAGAGATCCTCCTGCCTCTGCCTCCCAAGTACTGGGATTAAAGGTGTGCACCATGACACCTGGCCCATTGATCTTTTTTAAATAAGAAAAAAATTAGTACTTTTTATATTTCTGTCATTAAATTCTGATATAGTCAATAGCAGGTTTTTAAAACAAAAAGTCACAGATATTGACAAGATGACTACAACAACTGAGATTAAATTGAGTGACTTGTGGTCATGGGTGCGTATGGGAAGATGCTATCACAGCAAGCTTCATCACTTCTGATGAACTCTGGGGTGGGATCAAGGAAGAGGACCTGAAGGAAAGAGGGTTATGGGCACATGGGCTTTTTGGTCTGATAGACTTAAGTTGAAATCCACTTTTTTCTGACTGAGCAGTTTGCTCACCTTTTTAAAGACTTTACTCATCAAATAATAAAAAGTTTACCTCCAAGCTGCTTATAAGGATTACATGATATAATAGTCTTTGTGTAGTGCCTAACAAATAGTGAAGGGACTGGTGAAATGGCTCACAAGGTAAAGGTGCTTGTTGACAAACCTGAAGACCTGAATCCCTGGGACCCACACAAAGGTGGAAGAAGAGAAATGACTCCATAAAATTGTCCTCTGGCCACCTGAAGACCTGAATCCCTGGGACCCACACAAAGGTGGAAGAAGAGAAATGACTCCATAAAATTGTCCTCTGGCCACCTGAAGACCTGAATCCCTGGGACCCACACAAAGGTGGAAGAAGAGAAATGACTCCATAAAATTGTCCTCTGGCCACCTGAAGACCTGAATCCCTGGGACCCACACAAAGGTGGAAGAAGAGAAATGACTCCATAAAATTGTCCTCTGGCCACCTGAAGACCTGAATCCCTGGGACCCACACAAAGGTGGAAGAAGAGAAATGACTCCATAAAATTGTCCTCTGGCCACCCTTAGTATCAAAGGATCAAAATGTGTTAGCTCAGCAGATACTCCCCAAAAAGACACACATGTATGTGGATGGAGATCAGGCTGTGCCCTGCTCTAAGTTACTCCACAGTGTGTAAACCAGTGGCTTTCAGGCTGTTTGCCAAACTACTCTACAAAGCATCATTTGACTCCACTTTTAGTGTAAATACAGAGGAAGGATGACTGTACCTCAGTGTACACGTAGGTAGACACGTTCTGTCCAGCCCTTCCAGTAGGGTAGAGACTAATAACATTCCAAAAGCAAAAAGATACCACCTATAAACTTATCAGAATAACCTGAGAACATAGGAGCACATGGCATATTAAAATCATATCAGCTGCTGTAGCCCAGTGGGTGGTGTGCCAGGCTACCATACCAAAGAACCTGCGTTCAATTCCCTAGCACCGCCTAAACTAAGGTAGTGGCACACAGGTCTGTCCTCCAAGCAGGAAGATGAAGAAGTTCAAGGTCATCCACAGCCTACGTGGACACCATGAGACTCTGTCTTAAAACCACCGCCACAGAGAAAAGTTAGATCTTGGGCCAATGAGCTGGCTGAGCAGGTCAAGGAGCCTGTTGTACAAGCCTGACAACCTGAGTTTAATCCCTGGAATCCATGTATGGGGGAAGAACTGACTCCAAAAAGCTGTCCTCTGACCTCCACACATGCAACCCCCCCATCATACATACACACTAATAATAAAAATATAAAATTTAAAAATCATATTAGAAAAATCAGGCCTTATCAAACTTATCAGATACACCAGATTAAGGAAGGGAGCAACACCCTTACCTGGACCCCATAGCACTGCAACAGTGATGGCCCCACAGACTTGTCACCAGACCACCTAGTGTGGGAGTCAAGAGACCCACAAGCAGGGAACTCCCAACTGTCACTTGGGCCTTCAGCTCAGCTCAGCCCCTACTGCTGACTGCCTACACGATTGCCAAACTGCTATTTGGACTGGCCCTGGGCTTTGCCTTCAGAGTCCTACACCTCACCCCAGGCTCCTGTACTGCTGCAGCTCAACTCAACTCTACTGTTGCTTGCCTCTTCCATCTCTCCAACTGGGTTCTTTAATATCTAACCACCTGCAGTGACTCTCTCTACATGTGTATCAGCGCTCTGCTTCCAGTAAGGTCTCTTTAAACTCCCTGAATTCTGCTGTGGCTTCTTTAATCCTCTTGTAGCCATCCTGTAGCCTATACATATACATACAGATATGGATATAATTACTGTGTGATGTGTAATGTGTGATCTGAGAGTTAATATTAGTAATTAAGATTGAAATAAAAAAAGTTGTTTGTCAATGGTCAACTATCAAAGGAAATCAGGACTGTTTAACAAAATGCAGCCAATGAAACCTGACATTGTGGAAGGACACAAACCGGTCAGTAGAGGTTTCTGGCTGAGCACAGTATTGACAATGTTATCAAGGCATGGATATGTAAAACTCTAGGTCATTTGGAAAGGATATTGTTCTCTAGTATTACATAGCCATGTACCCACTTTAAAGCTGAGGACAGTTTACCCAATGGGAGAGATGCCAGTGGAAGTACTTCTTCAAAAGCCACCACACAGTATATTAGAAAGTTCACAGGCGTAGTCAGCACCAGCTCTACCAGCAATTAGTTTTGATCCTGTGCAAGGTACTAACCTCACTTCCTCATCTATTTAATGGGAAGGTAGATAAATATTTAAAGATCCCTTCAATTTTTCAGTTTCACAAAGAAAATGACATAAACAGCTATCCTCGGGATGTTATTTTAAGACCTAGAAGAGATGATTCATATTCCTTTTAAATAACTGGGGAAGATGCAAAATTTATTTGTACTGTAGTGTCTTTTCTTTTGATGTTTACTTAAGTAGGTACCGGAACCTGGTCAAGGCAATACCTTTCCAAATTGATCTTTTATGAATTTTCTTGAATACTACATAAATGACTTCCTCTGTTTTCCACATGCTGAGTTAACAAACTGCTCAAATAATGATGCAAAGTGTTTGATTTTATTCATACAAATATAATCTTATGTGCTTATCAGTCAGGTAGGACTTTAAAATGAAACTTAATTTATACCCTGAGCCATTTTGCAGACTGATAGATATGTTGCTGTGTTTAATGACAAAGGGTTCAATTGTTGTTTGTCAATTAGAAACACTCAGCAGGGGAAGAAAGTGTGGCCCTACCAGGATCTAAATGCTACCATGGTAACCAGAGGCGTTTCTTACTGCCTTAATACGGCTGAAGGTTATTTCTAGAGTACTACATACAGAAAGAGCTCTAAAAATGTATACACCACCTATATGTTTTATGCTTAGATTTAATGTGAAAATGTTAATGTTTCCATAATCAAATATTTTAATTATATAAACAAATGTGCCAGTGAAGAATCAAAGAAGTTGGATGACTTGGGCCACTATGGTATTCAGCACTAAAGTGTCCAAGACTGAGCTGCAGCTGCACACTGCACAGCCCCTTTGCTCACCCACTGGTAACTTCCACCCCTCCAAGGGTGGTGGCTAGGTGGTAAGTGGCTCTTCAGTAGCATTCTTACCACAGAGAAAAGCTTTTTTGCACTGTGTCTGGAGTGACACGCTCAGCTTGGACAAACCAGAAAAGCATTCTAAGTCCAAAGAACTCACAAACTAAGTAGCTAAGGCAAAAAGTTGCCCCTTCCAGAAATATCCAAACATCCTCATAAAAGTAAGGCTAGTGCAAGCACCTGGGGAGGTAGGCCATTCTCTACCCCTTAGGTTAGGGACCTTTCCTTCTGCAGCAGTTGGCCATGCTTACCAAGGGGGCAGCCCTTGTAGGCTCCAGGCTGGGTCGAGGTGCAGTCGAGTACATGTAGTTAAAAAGACGGTCTATTTTTCGAAGTGGGACTCCACCACCTAGGTCACTTATCTGCAGTATACAAAATGCCCAAAATACAAGGAGTCAATTGTGTGTAAGTGGGAAGCAATGTGGGAAGCAATAAGTTCATTAAGTAACATGCTAGAGGGCTCTCAAATGTATAAGGACTTTGAACTCCCCTGAAATGTGGTTCCTTTGGGAACAGTGTAAACAAAGACAGAGTAGTGTACTAAGATCTGACAGGCTTGGGGCTAAGGTCCTGCTCACCAAGTTAACTTAAGCCAAGAATCCAACACAACACAGTCACGTGTCATATGTAACAGGAATTATTCTGACACGAGTCATTAGTCAGCATCATCATGCAAATATCACAGAGTGTGCTTATGCCAAGCTGGCTACAATGCAAGCTGGCTACAATGGTGCTAAACAATGGAATCTTATGGGACCATGACTGTATGTATGGTCAGATCACTCCTGATGGAAGCATGGATGCATAACTGTACTTCCCTCTCATTCCTCAATGTCTACATAGTATGAAATCAACTGATAAAGTAAAAATACAAATAAAACAGTTACCTTAATGGACAAGTCTTCTTTGCCCAAAGTAACAAGCGTTTTAACAGCTGGGTATTTCTCTTTTCTATCTTCATATAGTTCAACTGTCGCTCTCATTGAATTCTAAAATAATAAGGCATTTTTTGAAAACGATGCTGCTGACTCACAACCCACAATTAAGTTAAATGTATTCATTATTTTTGGTGCTGAGGGTGGATCCCAGAGCTTTGCACATGCTAAGCATGCACTCTGTAACTGAGTTACACCCCTAACCCCTCAAACCATGATTTTTTAAAAAAGAAACAAGATTACTTATATGCAACAATTCTCTTGTGGGACCAATATTAGATTTCTGTGGATTTTTTTTCCTCTATAGAGTTTGGTTAAACATGTATTCACATCAAGGAAAATTTTCCTGATGTTCTACTTTGATTTAGTTTTAGCCCCATCCTACTTTCTAATTATTTGACTCAACCTAGAGGGATGTTTTTTAATCACATGTAATGTACCTATAGAGGTTGATTTGCACATTTTAAATCCTGTTTATCACTTGCATTTATAAAGCACCTTTCCCCTGACAAAGGTAGAAAAACTGAAATGATTCATGCTTCCCATAAATATTATTCATGGGGGTGAAAAAAGAAAGAGAAATAGTTAAAAACAAAGTCTGAAAAAGCCACAGACCATAACAAGAAAGTTCACAATCAAATGCCCGCTTCAGTGCTACATCAATAATATTCTCATTCTTGGAAACAGATCAGTGTAACTGACTTTTCAGGTGTTCAATTTAGTATTTTCCACATTAGAAGGGATGAAGCTCAAATATCCTGGGCCTGTAATACTGCTACTGTAAATGCCACTAGCTACAGGATAATAAAAACAAGAGCCTAGGCCATAGTAAGTTTTGAAAAGGGTTTTTTTTTTCGTTGTTGTTATTTGTTTTAGTCCCCCCCCTTTTTTGGAACAGGCTTCCACAGTTTTCTTTCCTGCCTCCATCAGATCTTCTGAATTGATTCAAATTCTAAAAGGGCTACAGGATCCCTCGGGACTGGAAGGACTACTAATGCATCAGCACACTTAATGCTCAGAAGCACACACATACAGAAACAGTTTTTATTTTGGTCTGGCAACTACCAATAAAACCTTTGCTAGATTTGAAAACTAAAAAGCACTCTAACCTCATAACTGAAGTAAAAACAGTATAGATTTTATGTAAGTCACTAAAACACAATTAAGTTTCAAAATCAATATGTACTAATATTCACGAAACTACACCAAACAGCAATTTTTCATCTCACAGTGTACAAATTATAAAGCCCACAGGATATCAGAAGCAGACTTTTAAAAATGGTTATGCTAAATCTTTTTCTTATGCTAATCTAATGAATCCATTATGCCCAGAATCAAAGTAATTTAAAATGAAGACTTCTTCCCATGTTTTTAAATTCCACTTACCTTGAACAACTCAAATAGCATGTGAAACAGATGTGAAGGCACATAAACTACCTGAATAGGTTTGTTTGGTGCTTTGGCTGAAAACAGAGACAAAACCATCAATGAATAAGGACCCAAACTAGAAGCAAGCCAAAAATGATGCCTGTATTCTATTTTCTAAGTACACAAAGCAGACCTCTATAAAAGGCTAATATAGATCCCCACATTTAATGGTGTGACTGAGCAAAAATACATGCTTCAGAATCAAGCAAGCCTGGAGTGAACTCTAGTTACTCCTTGACTTCAGCTTTGTGATCTTGGACAAATCATTCAGGGTCTTTTAAACTGTGCTGAGCAAAAATGGAATATTATCACCTGTGCCATGATATTTTTAGCATTATACAAAGACATCCAAATATCACTTGGTATTTTTCAATTGGGAAGACAGACCTGTCACCAATCCTGGTAGTCATTTCGGAGAGTATGAACCAAAGGAGAAAGGGAGGTGTTGAACTGGACTTATAGCTCAGCTATGGTTTGAATCTGAACTACTCTCTGAAAGGCTCACATTCAAGGCTTGACCAGCTGCCAGCTGATAGGCTTTAGGGAAGTGAAAGTCTCATGAGGGAGCTGACGTAATGAATGCTTAATCCACTGATGGAGTCCCATTTTAATGGCAGTACTGGGAGATGGTTAAAAAATTAGGAGGTGGGACCTGGTCAGAGGAATTAAGTTCCTTGGGGGCATGTCATTGAAGGGTGTATCCTGTCCCTGGTCCCTTTGCCCTCTTCTCTGGCTGCTGTGAGGGGAGCAGCCGCCTCTGCCACATTCTTCTGTTGCAATGATTCTTCAGAGCCAGTATGCTCTGCGTTGGGCCCCAATCAATGGGGCCACCAGACCATGGATTGAAGCCTCTGAAACTGTAAGCCTCTTTACTTATTTGTGCATTATCACAGAAACAAAGAGAACTAACACAAATGTGTTAATTTGGTTATATGATGATACACAGGACATACTGTAGAGGGTAAGGTTCACATAACTTTCTACCAGAAACTAAACGCCTGAAGATCTACAGTCTTTTCCTCTTGAATGGATCTTTTGAGGAAAATCTAAGAACAGAACCTTATATAATGCACCAAAAACAGTACGGGGAACAGAGGAGATGCTTAGAATGTAGTCCTTTCTCCTCCTCCTGACCTGTAACCAGTTGAGGCATTGAAACTACATGACCTTTCTCAATTAGAACATAGACAATGATACAAATTAGAGCTAACATCCATTTGGTTCTAAGTAATTTATAATGAGCTTCCATACACATCATCAGATTGTATCCTTATGATAATACTTAGTGGTTCACAGAGTAGGTGGCATTATTCACAAGTGAGTAAGCAGGCTTTGGAGAGGCATGGCTGCCAGTCTGTGCTGCTAAGAGGAGACGGTGGAACCTTTAGGAGGTAAGGTCTAGTGTGATGCAGTCAGGTCACTGGTGGCCTCCTTCTCTTTGCTTCCTGGCTTCCATGACTTAAGCCATTTGCCTCGTCCTGTATTTCCTGCCATGATGTTCCACCTTGCCACAGGTCCACAGGCATATCCAACCCTTTGACATTGCAGCACCTACAAAGTTTACACTGGAGAACCACACAATTGATTTTTTAAAAACACACACACAAAAAAAAACCCTCAATGTTTGAAGTAAGTGGTTTATGATTTTGTGTTGGGCCATGCTCATAGCTATCCCGAGTTTCGGGATGGACATACCTGCACCTGAAACAATGGAGGTATGTTCATAGTCCGAAACCGTGAGAACCATGGGTTGAAACACATCTTTCCTCCTTTTGCTTGTTTATCTCAGATATTTGGTAATGACAACAGAATCTGGTTAACACAACCAATCCAAGAGCATTTCTAGCAGGGAGTGGAAATCAAACCTAGGGCCTCACACATCCTAGGCAAGTGCTCTACCAGTGAGCTATGTCTCCAGGTCCCAAGAGCTTTTGATTCTTAATTCCAAACCCTCTGATGACCATTTAAAATATTATTTAGCAATATACTCAAACAGCTGAAATTTTTCTAAAAGTGGAATCCCTATAGATTCTTTTAGAAAAGTTAAAAATCAGTAGTGTTGGTAATATTATAACTACCTAAGTACCAACCATTGCAGAGATGCCATTGGGTGTTTCCTTCCCTGTGAGTCCAATGACATGACTCATGTGTCACTTGGAGGAAACTGTTCTTAGCCTTAAGGTGAAAAAGACAAGACTGTGTTTCATTCTTCCAACTGCTCAACATCATGCTACCCTTTTTAGGCTGCATCACATTCAGTCTGTGGTAGTTTCGATGAGAAATGTCTCGTATAAGCTCACATATTTGAACACCTGGTCCCATACTGGAGATGCTGTTTAGGAAGGTTATGGAACCTTCAGGAAGTGGATCCTTAACAGAAAAAGTATGTCACTGTGGGCAAGGTTGTAGAGCCCCACTTCCTGTTCTCTCTGCTTCCTGTGTGCAGATGAAAATGTAATTAGCCATGGCACGCTTTCCCTGCCACGATGGACTCTATCCCTCCAGAATCATAAGCCAATATAACCTCTTCCTTACAGTGCCTTCAGTCATGGTATTTTATCGCAGCAACAGAAAAGTCACTAATGCATGGTCTATGTCTTTCTCGCACCGCTGTGTATTTTTCGCTGTGCACTCTCCTTTTCACTGTAGTACAATCTTCATTGTAGTACAAAATCTATCTTCATTGTAGTACATACAAAAATCTATCTTCATTGTAGTACAAAATATTCCAGTTTCTTCTTTTGCATGGTATCCATGCTATTCTTCAAGAATTTTCAAATTTCAACCAGCTGCTTCTTAAACATGCCACATGGCCATTGTCTTAAAATTGTCTGAGGTTCTAGAATGTTTCCGCTATTTCTTATCTCTGTATTATATAACCCATTGAGGCAGTTGGGCAATTCCCTGCTATCACCTCTCCATGCTCCCCTTAGACCAGCTTTCAGCTAACTAATCCTTATCCTTTGGCTGTTCTTCCCATTCTAGTTAACTGTTTGCACCACCCAGCTCTGCTTCCAGGTTCCCTCCAGAATAATTTGGCACACTGGTTACCATCTCTAAAGCAGCCTTCCCCTTTGTGGTTGCCCCAGTCCTGTCCTATCAGTCAGCAGACTTCTATCTGCCTACTCTCTTCAGGGGTTGAGATTAGCGACTGCCACGGAATCAGTGTTTGTGTCCCATTCAATTCATACCTTCAAACTTATTTCCCAACGTATTTGGAGGTAGGGCCTTTCGGAGTTAATTCATGAGGGTGAGCCTCACGAATGGGATTAGAGATCCTAGCCAGGCAGTGGTGGTGCACGCCTTTAATCCCAGCACTTGGGAGGAAGAGGCAGGCGGGGTTTTGTGAGGTCAAAGGCAGCCTGGGCTACATAGTGAGGTCCAGGGCGGCCGGGGCTCCCAGGGGACCCCGTCCCCAAAAAAAAAAAACCCCCCCCCCCCCGCCAAAACAATCCCAGAGAACTCCCCGGTCCATTCTTCCATGTAAAGGCACAGCAAGAAGTCATCTATAAGCCAGAAAACAGGCCCTCACCAGACACCAAATCAGCTGGTGCCATGATCTTGTACTTCCCAGCTTCTAGAACCATGAGAAATAAATGTCTGTTATTTAATACATGCAATCTCTGGTACTTTTGTTTAGCAGCCTGAAGAGACTAAGACAGTAGCCCACATATGTGCCCCCTTGATTTCCTTTGCTGTTTTCCATGGGGTTCTTTTATTATCATTGTAATGAGGTCTGAGAATCAAGCTGAGTGCTTAGTCTATCTTGTGGCAAAGGCATCATTAGTTATATAAACAGCCTCAGAATTCAATTCAACCTTTTTCAGTCCAAATCTCAAGGAAATGAAAAAACCTTTTATAGTTTGCTTTCTTAAGTTTAAACAACATTCTCTGGGAACCATCTAAAGGCTTCCTCAATTACTTGTACTTTTCTTTGTGAATATTATAGTTGACATTTCTTTTCTTCCTTTTAAAACCATGGAAAATGTTTTTGTCTATGACTCTTCCTTTATCCTGGGCCTAGCGGCTGTGAAGTAGTAGATGCTTAATAGAGGTTTGTTAGCTTTCTAAAATAAGATAAATGGAATAGGAATATTCCATCTGATAGTACACTTTAAAAAGTCAATGGAAAAAAGTAGCCTGGGTTTTTCAGGGTTAAGACTCAAGAAAAAATAAAGTCTCGGTCATTTGCAGTCATTGCCCCATACGCCATCAGTTGAAGCAGCACATAATAAATGTCAACAGAACTCGACATAGATGTAAGAAATGTTACTTTCAGATAGTTTTCCTGTAAGAATGAAAATAGAAACTGGAGGATAAACAGAAAAATGCATATAAAAGGAAAGGTGGTGGCACACTTAAAAATTTATTGCCAAAAGTCCATAAAGAAGGCTATTAAAAACAGGATACAGTATGGTTCAAAGTCACATGGGAATCAAGGCCTGACTCTGAGGACAACTCTAATAATAGGAATTTAATACACTAGGGTCTCAGTCTTCCATCTCTGAAATGAGCTCAGTACAGATTTCAGTATGTAAATACAAAGATTAAGTGAGAGAATGGTGATTAAATTAGTGTACACAATATTTCACATAGATATTTCACATGGATATGTACCTTTTCTAAGAACGTTCTTAAAATAAATTACACATGGTCTGAATTGAAATTTTAATGTTTCCCATTAAACCCGAAGCTAAAGACCACCCTCTTGATAGGAAAAAAGATGTACAATTGGTGAAGATGTCCAAGTAGAAACCCAAAGTCTTATCTGTCTCAATTGAGTCCTGAATTTTAATAGCCACCTTTTACTAAATATCCAGTATATGCACAGTACAGTATTTAAGACTCTAGAGATATTGTCCTAACACCCTGCAAGGCAAGCCTATGAATAAGGAAGCTGAGCGTTAGCAAGCCAAAGCGACCTACATAAGGCTCAGATTGTGTGTAAAAGTCTATCACCTAGTGAGCTACAAAGCTCACATCTTTCTCCCAGGCCATGTTGCCTTACCACACAGATGAAAAACTGAATGACAACAGCAAGTGAATGAGAACCAGACTGACGAAACTGCTTCTGGACTTTGGCGAAGCCAGTCATGTGCTGCCACAGATGGATAGTCAGAAATATCTGAAACCAGCCAGGGATGTAGCTCAGTGACAGTGCTTAGTATGTGTGAGGTACTAGATTGGCTCCCTTGCTATTTCTTGTAAACATCTTATTTATTATTTTTAATTGTGTGCATATGTAAGTCCATGTGAGGATGTGTGCATGTGAGTGCAATGCTTGAGGGGGTTTGAAGAGGTATCAGATCACCAGGAGCTGGAGTTACAGGAGGCTGAGATCCACCTGACATGGGTGTTGGGAACGATACTCAAGTCTTCTGTCAGAGCAGTCTGTGCTCTTAATGCTGAGCCATCTTTCCAGTTCCCCTTGCTATCTTTAATGCTCCTGTTAAATGTGTCACAGAAAAGACAACAAAGGAAACTTGCCATAGCTTTCCTTCAGTAACTGGAGCTCTAGTGGAGACTACTGGGTACTGATGGTGTTGCCATGCTGTGTCCTATATAATCTTAGTAACTATCCTTTAGGGGTTCATGTTGGGAAAGGCAATATATTCCCCAAACTCAGAAACAAAATATGTCCAACTAACAGAATGCCAGTTCTCAATGAGTAACAGAATGCTTGAATGACAGGCTCATTCTCAAGGCCAGAGCAGAACGCAGAGTGTGCTATTGTTGAAGGTACCTATTGTGTAATGGAAGCATCCTGAAAGGAATTGTGTGTAGCTCTGACAGGCTCTCAAAGTGAATCCAAGTGAATTTGGATCTGATTTCTTCTCAGAACACCAAGTCAACTGTTATACCATGGAAAGCAGTCTCTCGGTACAAACTCAAAGCATCTATTAAAATTTTTCCAAAACCAACCTCTGAACTATAACGCTAACAGAGTCTGTTAGAGCTCAAATACATTAATTATGTTCACAAAGAGACTTGGCATTCCGGAACTCATAAATATAAAACAAGACTACATTACCCAAAGGAACAGGAAATGAGAGGCTACAACAAACAAGAGCACTCATTTCTCTTAGTGATGGGAAAAGAGGATTTGAAATGTGACAGAAATAAGGTTTATAACAGTCATGCAATAGTGTCAAAAATGGCTGTGAAGCTCTTGTTGTTGTGGATGAGCTGCCCAACCAGACAGCTAGCTGGGAAGGAATATGCTAACACAGCCAGCTCTAGGGCAGCAAGAACAGGCTTGGCCTGCAGGATGGATGAGGCTGACATGTAGAGAAAGGAGTCAGTTGTCACTACGTGGGATTTTAAGTTCCATTTTTGGATAAATACAAATCTAGATGGTTAAGCCACTCCTTGACCAGCCAGTAAAAAGAGATGGAATATTAAAATGCTTCTAATCAGAACACTCTAGCCAAACCCCCTAGGTTCTGGCAGTTTATTTACACAGAACAAAGTACGGATCTTCTCAAAGAACCCTAGAGGCTTTGAAAGCAGATGTGATTTCATAGCTTCTAGTCAAATGAATATCGGGGCTATCTTTCTTCAACAGCAGCCTGAAGTCTCTATAAACTTTGATCTCGTTATAAGAAATGAGATCCAAAGCCGGGCATGGTTGTGCACGTCTTTGATCCCAGCACTCAGGAGGCAGAGACAGGCCAATCTCTGTGAGTTCAAGGCCAGCCTGGTCTACATAGTGAATTCCAGGCTAGTTGGGGCTACGGGGAGACCCTGTCTCAAAAAGACTTAAAAAAGAAAGAAAGGAAGGGAGGGAGGGAGGGAAGAAAAGAAAGAAAAGAAAAGAAAAGAAAAGAAAAGAAAAGAAAAGAAAAGAAAAGAAAAGAAAAGAAAAGAAAAGAAAAGAAAAAAGAGATCCAGATTCATTTTAATTCGCTTTGAGAGCTCACCAAAACTACAAAGAATCTTTGAGAGGGAAGTAGAAATACCCATACTCTAAGAATTATTAATCTAACCTACAGATATGCTTCTACCTGTTTGTAAGTCTCCCTTCCCTCCTCCAAACATACATACATACATACACATACACACTCACACATACACACGTATTCACATGCACACATGCATGTAAACTGAACATATGAAATACAGGAAATTTGGAAATCATAAATGCACACCTCCTCAAATGGTCAAATTATGAATCTGGACTATGGATAATCTCTAAATGATATTACTGCATGCAAAGATTGTTAAAGTGGGGCTGGAGAGATGGCTCAGCAGTTAAGAGCACTGGTTGCTCTTGCAGAGGACCCAGGTTCAGTTCCCAGTACCCACATAGTGGCTAACAATTGTCCATGACTCCAGTTCCAGGAGATCTGACGCCCTCTTCTGATCTCTACAGGCATTCCACGACATGGGTGCACTTATATACACACAGGCAAAACACTTATACACATAAAATAAAAATAATAAGTAAAATATTTCTTAAAAAATGTTTAAGGTAAAGTGGAAAACAGAAGTTACAGAAAAAAGATAGTTTCAATCCCATTTACACTTAAAAACATATAGGACCAAAAGAATAATGGGGCTCTCAAGTGTTACATTTCTGTTGTATTTTCATGATGACCATGACTTTGGTCATTTACAAATAAAAAAAAATAATGTAACACATAAATAAATACAGAATTTTATGGCTAACATAAAACCAGTTATCCAGAGTTATTATTTAGAATCTGATAGATTTAAAAATATTTTCTAATGAATTTCCACTATCATACCCTTTTATAGCTTCCTCCCCTTTTTTTTTTGTTGTTGTTGTTTGAGACAGGGTCTCCCTGCAGCCCCAGCTGGCCTGGAATTTACAATGTAGACAAGATTGGCCTTGAACTCGGAGATCCACATGCCTGTGCCTCCTAAGTGCTTGGATTAAAGGCCTGTGCCACCACACCCAGCTTATTTATTATTATTATTATTATTATTAGTAGTAGTAGTAGTAGTAGTAGTAGTAGTAGTATATTCTCTGCATGTATGTAAGTGTACCCATGCCATGTAATGCCCGCAGACGTCAGAAGAGGGCATGAGATTGCCTGGAACTGGAGTTATAGATGGTGGTTCCCCATGTGGGTGCTGGGAATTGAACATGGGTGGTCCTCTGCAAGAAGAGCTGGTGCTCCTAACTGCTGAGCCATCGTTCCAGTCACCCATGATTTTTCATTTCTTTTCTTTCTTTTTAATCTCAACTTTTCCTACACATAATATTCTTTAAAGCACTTTTTTTTGGAGACAGGGTCTCCCCGTAGCCCCAGCAGGCCTGGAACCTGCTATGTAGACCAGGGTGGCCTTAATCTCAGAGAGATCTTCCTGCCTCTGCCTCCTGAGTGCTGGGATTAAAGGCCTGCACCATCACACCTGGCTAAAGAACTATTTTTAACAGGTGAATAGAATTCTATGTTATGAGTGTACTGCAATTTATTTAAATATTTCTGGGTGTACTGCAATTTATTTAAATATTTCTGTATTGTGGAAATCAGTTATTTTCTAAACTTTCTCTAAGTAAACTCGTATGATCATAATTCTTACGCATGTGTGCGTATCTCCATTTTCTTGTAATATATTTTATAAAGTTCAATTTACTAGACCAAAGAAATATGACCACTGTTAATTTAATTTGCTAAGCCAGTCAAAGGTCATTATTAGCAGTTTTGAAAAAGGCTATATCCACGTGAACATAGAAAAAATACTTGTGTTGGTGATAGTATTTTTCTGGGAACAAATAGAAAACATTAAAGTTCTTTGTTTCTGGTTTTTTTTTTTTTTGAGACAGGTCTACTCTGTTGCCCAGGCTGGCCCCAAACTCCTAGGCTAAAACTATCTTCTTGCCTCAGCTTTCTGAGTAGTTGAGACTAAAAGTGCCATGCCATGCCATGTCACTCTGAAAGATGAAAGTAGCATTTCTCTGTATTTTTGTCTGCATTTATTTACTAGTTAAATATTTTCCCACATTTATTGACTGCTTGCATTTATAATTTTAAAAACTACCTATTTATAACTCTGTGTGCTTTTTTCCTTAATTATTTCTGTGCTAAGTACTTGGAGATCTGATACATGACACATTCCTATTCAAAAGCTACTTATAAGAATATTCCCAGGAAAAAGGCACAGAAACCATTTTTAGAAGATATAAAAACGAGAAAGCAGCATCATTTACAGATTTCTCTGAAATACGCCTAGATATAACCATCATTTTAGTCAGCTTCTTTGTATTGACACTAAAATGCTTTTTCTTTTACCATTGAATTCTTCGACTTCCAGCTCTGGAGCTACCTGGTAATACTGTTCGCAGAGCATCTTGGCTGTTTCATATGCATCTGCAAGAAAGAAGAATTTAGCTGTTACGTCAATGGCATAGGTACAAATGTGGGTGTATACATGAAGTAAGGATAAACTGTCTAACCTGACCTTAAATGAATCAACTGCCATCTTTTAAAACAGTCTTTTGGCTTCAATACATTACCATGACTAAAGACTCCTTGGTTTTAATACAGCCATATTAAAATCATAGACTAATAACAATAGAGTTAGGACTATGTCAAGCACAACCTATTGGACACAGAATTTAAATGACTGGAGCCACCATTCTCATTTTAAAATTTCCTTTAAGTTAGTTAAACATAACAGCTTGGGTCTGATATGAAGTCTAAGGTGCAACAGTTTGCTTTTCAATGGAAAAAAAGATGTAAGGTAAGAAAATCAAGGTCATTACAAAAACAGCTAGAAGATGAAACTTGGAAAGTTCCAAAGGTAGGGGATAAATTCAGAAAGCGAAAGTGCCTCATGATGTGTTAACTTTTCTGTTGAAAACCATTTTAAAGAAGAAAAAGAATAAAAGCCAATCTGAGGTGAGGATTTGAGCCTTACAGTTGCTTTATAATGTACACAGAACTTGGTCTAGAGCCCGTGTAAGCTGGTCAATAGGTATTCCTTGATTTGATAAATTGTAAACCTTTTGATAACTTATTTAAAAAACTTTATTGACACATAATTCTCACACTATAAAATTACCCACTTAAAGTGAACAAACAATTTAGCGGTATTTAGTTTATCTCCCAAGTTGTACATCCATCACCACAATCAACTTTTCATTACTACAAAAGAAGTCCCTTACTCATTCCTCTCTGCAAGCCCTAGGTGACCATGTTCTACACTGCCTATAACAGATTCACCATTATGGACATTACAACTGAATTGAATCCTATTAATATGTGATCTTTTGTGACTGGTTTCTTTTTCTTAGAATAGTGCTTGTGATGGTTATTTTGACAATCTGACGTAATCTAGAATCACCTGGAAAGGCTGTGTCAATGAGGGATGCTGGCCTATGGCTGGTCTGTGGGGGATTATCTTGATCATCTTAAGTGGGAAGACCCACCCACCGTGGGTGCACCATTGCCTGTGAAGGGATTCTGAACTGTACAAGAGTGAAGAAAGTGAGCCAAGCACTACCATGGATTATTTCATTGCTCTCTGCTATTATGGATGTGATGTGGCCAGTCACTGTGAGTTCCCTGCTGTGATGGACTATAACCTGGAACTGGGAATCAAAGAAATCCTTTCTCCCTTAAGCTGCTTTTAGCAGGGCATTTTATCAGAGCAACAGGAAAAGAAACTATGACAATGTTTTCAAGGGTTACCTATGTTGTCATCACATGAGTCAGCACTCAATTCCTTATAGTTTATATTCTACAATATAAGAACATTTAAGTAATAGTCCATTGCACAGATATACTATTTTCTTAACCACTCATCAGTTGATAGACATCTAAGTTGCTTCCACCTTTTGGTTATTATGACTAATACTGCTATGAACATTGATGTCTAAGTTTTTGTGTGAACACGTTCTTTCTGTTAGATATGTACTTAGGAATGGACAATTGCTGGGTCATTCATATAGTATCTCTCTATTTGAACACTTTAGAACTGCCAGACTGCTTGCCAGGACAAGACTTTTAAGTTTTGCCTTCACAATTTCCAAAGCTCAGATATTCAAATTGCATAAAAATGTTTCATGGGTGCACTTGCAATGTTCTCAACTGCACCTCAGCTTCTTAGAGACAGGCTTGAACTTCTTTTATACTGCAATGTCAACACTGTGCATAGAGAATATACTTGTTTAAAATTCAAGAGGTGAGAAAAGAATGGAAAGGAAGAAAGGGAGAAAAATAAGCCCCAGAGAATTTAAGTGTTAAAATTTGACATTATTATCTTAAAATAATACAAAGATAATAGGGTATGTTCAGACTCTAAGTTCATTTACCTCACACTGCTGCCTAGAATTTTATATCCTAATTATCTAATATTATTTGTACCCATACCAAAATTCCCATAAAACTTTTAGAATTAAACACTACAAAGAACCAAAGATGGAAACATCAGACTAATTCTGACAAGATAAAATAAAAAGAGAAAGTAAAAAGGAAATGCTAGTAAGAAGAAAAATTTTTTTAAAAAGCATTATCAGTATGAAAATAGACATTAAAGTAGGGCTGGATTTTAACCCTGAAAAGAGGGTTAGAATTTTGAACCATAATGAACTTTCAAGATTTTTCTAGGACTTATATAATAAACCTCATCAATTATCTGTAAAGTATTTTGGAGAAAGAAAGGAAAGGAAAGGAAAGAAATCTAAATCGGTTCTTTTGCTTTGGCTATACCATCAAACAATGCTACATCTCCACCTAGTGACATGATAGCACAAAAGCCGACCACGAACTTTTAAGACCCCAAATAATGAAAAGCAAAAATAATGCTTCACTATCTATGTACAAAGTCAATATACCAGACCTCCTCCAGGTGCATAATGAAGATGTTTAAATATTGAACATCTCTTTCCTTATAAAACAGTAAAATTATGAAACTAAATCTACTTAATGTTCCATTGCATTAGTTTTGCCACTAGTAGGATTACGATAGCATTGAAAAAATGTTATACACGTGTGGAAGACAGTGGCGCCCAAATAGAAGCGACCAACTTCAAACTCAAAGACTCAGCATGGCTCCTAAAACTACATGTGAATAACAGTATTTTTAGCATCATTATACAGTGAAGTGTATCAATACTATAACTATGAATTACTTCATTATTCTTAAAAAATCTCAAGACATCACAATGACTCACACACCAGTCAGCTAAGAGCATCCTAGGAGCATTGATAGTAAAAATTTATATTAATGTACATGAATTCTCAAAGCATAGCAAGGCATAGTGGTACATACCTTTAATCCTAGCACTTGGGAGGCAGAGGCAGGCAGATCTCAGAGAATGAGGCCAGCCTGGTCTTCATAGCAAGTTCCAGGCCAGCTGGGGCTACAAGGAGATCCTGTCTTTAAAAAAGAAAAAAGAGGGGCTGGAGAGATGGCTCAGCAGTTAAGAACACTGGCTGTTCTTGCAGAAGAGCCAGGTTCGAATCCCAGCATCCACATGGCAGCTAACAGCTGTTCATAACTCCAGTTCCAGGGGATCCAACAGCCTCTTCTGTCCTCCATGGGCATTGCACGACATAGGTGCACTTACCTACATGCAGGCAATACACACATACACATACAAATAATAAATAAAATATTTTAAAAAAAGAAAAAAGAAGAAAAAGAAAATTATCAGGGCATACTATAATGCTTTGTACACAATACATACATAATAAGTAATTGGTTAAGGGCTGGAGATGTAGCTCAGTGGTAGAATATCTGCCTAGTATGTGAAAGGCCTGGGTTCAATTCCCAGCACTGTGAAAACCAAAACAACAAATTTATCATTTGCTAAATAAAACAATCCTCCAGCCCACAATAAAGTTTTTAAAATGCAGTCAATTACAGTACTAGAAAGTGTTCTTTCTAGTTAAACTGGAGACTACAGTCCTTGAGTTACCACTAACGTGGCTGTGTATAGCAATTCATTATCAAGTTTAAAAAGAGTGCAGTTTTTGCCTTTTGGGTAAGATCAAACATAAAAAGAATGTGGACTCTTATTCTCTGCACATTGACCAGTTACAGGTCTCTGTGTTAATCACGTCTACTGTAAAAACAAATATCTGTTATGTGCTGGATAGCTTTAGTGTCAACTTGACACACCTGGGTTGAGGGAGCCTCAATCAGGAAATTGCCTCTATTGGGCTGGCCTGTGGCCATGTCTGAGGGGCATCTTCTTGATGAGTGATGTGGGAG